TAATAAAAGCTCTAATCATTGTACAGATAGCTTAAATTTCAGATTTTTAAACACAACAAAAAAGATGGGATACACAATACCATGTTTTTAAAAGTATTACAATCAAAATTCATCTAATTAAACAAAAAGAGAACTAAAAAAAATAAGTGCTAAAAAACTGAACAAGTTTGAAGAAAATGCAAGTACTAGAAAATTAAAAAAACTTAAATATTAAACAAAATAATATCATCATTTCATTTTAATGTATTTCTGTAAATGATGCAATGTCAATCTACAATAATTTAGAAAAATGTATATAAAGGGAATTTCGTTCTTATTGTCAGGGTAACAGAATATTATTTCCTGATAAATTTTTATTTATATTGGAGATATTCCGATATCATAGGAATGCATAGCCTACAGCTTGAATGGTCAGCATGCAGCGTCCTGTTTTCCGACTAAAAATTAAAAGGAAAAACTTACAATTTATAACTGCTTTTCAAACTAATTCAAATAAGTTTTGATAAAACACCAACATTAAAATTCAGAAATATAGAGGCACTAATTCTGTTATTGTCAAAACATTTAAATCTTTCAATTTTTTTTAAACATATATTTTTAAGCAATACATGTTATGTAATTCATATACAGTTAAAAAATAATAAATTTAATTATCCACGTTTACAGTTAAAAACAGTTAATTTATGAAAGAATTACAAAGTTTACAAATCTTCAAATGTATTAGGGGGACCGGAAAGTATTGTCGTTTCAGTGCATTTGATATTTGTTATCAAGATTTTATTTTTAATCAATAATGTATTCACGCTCGTTAGAAACCTCTCCATTCTAGATTGAAAATGAATCAAAGTGAATAAAAAAAAAAAATTTTTTTTAAGACTAACGAATATTTAATGCATTGAAACGACATTACCTTCCTGTCCCCCTAATATCATATTTTTTAACTTAAAAATATTATACATATACTTAAGTCTTTCAATTTTTGAGATAAATTGATGTTTTTTTGGTAACACTAAGGAATAATTAAGTTATAATATACTGATATAAAAATGAACTCATTTCAGCCCCCGAATGCCACAAATTTCTTTCTGGCCCTCTTTCGCAAAAGATTATGTGTCACAAAAGTTTGCCTACCATATCAAATCCTGGTCATGCTAAATGCAATCAATAAAAAGCAATGCCCCAGTTTTTTATGTGCAATAAATTTAAATATAGAGGCTTGCCAGGGATTTAAGATAAATTTTAAAATAAAAATCCAGTAACATATTTTAATCAGATACCCAGTTAATGGAGAGAAAATAGAACCTGGACAAATCTATTTCCTATTGATGATGTTATATGTGAAAGCATATGTACAAACAGAAAAAAATATTTTAAAGGCAATAAGTGAAAATTAATATTACTTTGGCCCATTAGTATTTCAAGTATTGTATTTCTTCAATAAGAATTTAAAATTTCTATTCAATGACAGTAAGTCTACTTACAGATCACATTTTCTTTGGACCCTATTTTTGAAAATTATGTCAAAATGAAGATACTTGGCACCATAGTATTTTTAGTACAGAAAAATATTGATGCTTTATAGCACAAATTTTAAGCAACAAAATTTTATCTGGTACATATTTTCTATTGCAAAAAAAAATTCTATAATTCTGAAGTAAATAAAAATAATAATTTGAAAAGTTAATATTAAAATAAATTACTTATGGATGAATATTTTTTAATAATTTTGATTTGTTTTTAAAGTTTATCACCCTTGATTCTCAATTCTTTGTCAAAGTTTACAAACATATTTTAACTACATATATTACAAAACATATTACAAACTAATTTTTGAATATGAATAATAAACAGGTACACAGGTTAATATTCCACGCAATTTATATTTTCTTAAATCTGGAAAAAGATAAAAATTGTTTCACCAACAAAAATCACAAAATTAGTCAACAAAAATCACGTAAGTAGAAGAGAAACTTGCATATTAACAAAAAAACTGTGATAAATTTTCTGAAATAATTAAAGGAAAAGCTTCCACCAAAATAAAATGCACATCAATTTAATGCAAGTAATTTCTTATCAATATAATAATTTTAATTTGCTCTTGAATTTTGCTTTGGGAGTATCAATGGCTTTAAAACAATGTTTCTAAATTAAAGTTACTTTCTTAGCATAAAAGTGGACAGCGATATATTAGTTAGAAGTAAAAAAAAATCACAAATTTAATAAAATATCATAAATAATTTCAAAATTAAGTACCAATGATATTACTTCTAATAATTCAGAAATATAAAACACAATAGACTTGCATTCAACGTTAAATGTTGAAATAAAATGAAAATACCTTAAGATCTTAATTTGAACACAAAAAGAGAAATAAAATATGCAGTCATATTCTGTTCACTTTAATTAGTTTTCGGTAACAATTTACATTGAACTGAATTTTAAATAAAAAAGTCAACCTTTGTTAAAATAAAATAAATAAATAAAGATATTGGGTCTTTTTAAATCAAATGTCTGCTACGCTCAGTAGATATCTTTGCTTTGAAATCTATCAGGTGCATTTTTTATTGAATAGACCACTCATCTAAAATTTTTGGTCAAATAATAGATTTCTACTATTCAAATAATAGATATATTTTATATCTATTCTTTTTTGTTAAATTTCTAATAGAAAACTGAAATGGGCATTACATATGCACTGACCTACAAATATCAATACATTAACAGTAAATATGAACAAATAATGCCAAGTATCTCTATGCATCACAAAACTTGAACCACTCAAAATAATCTTAAAGGTTAGGTGGTTATCCTCAATGCATATCACACCTCTGATTCACACATGCACAAGCATTTCATTTTACACGTAGTTTCAAAACAGTTGCACACTGGAAAACTGAATTCAACTAAAATAGTCCTTAAACTGGAGAATTGTTCTACCGCTAATTAAACCTCTTGAAAAAAAATTAGGAAATTTTTGTGGGTGGATTTATAAATTTTCTAATAACATTCACATACATACTACATGCAAATTTCTATTTATTATTATTTTTTTAGGAAGGATCACTTAAATTGATTAAGACTACAAATATTTTCAGACTGATGTAATTAAACAATCTTTGTGTGAAACTTAATTGAAATTTTCGTTTTAAACTTAATTTTCTCTTTTTCTTTTTGATAAAAACATTTTGACTGCAGCAATTAGGTAAATTTAAAGGAAAGATTCCTTTCTAACAATTGCTTCTGCAAGGATAGTTAAATAAAGCATAATAATAGTACGTATTCAAAAGCAAGTTTATAGTATGTCCAATCACGCTTTCAAAACTGTCAGTTATAAGGTGAAATATAAAATGTTTATAACCAAAATAAAAGACAACATATAAATTCAGAAAGAGTAATTTGGAGAATATCAATCCTCATTTATTATTAAGTAAATATTTAAAAAAAATTTAGAATAACAGAGTATTTAAGTTTTTAAAATGAGTCTAAATTAAATAAATAGAAAATCTTTCATAAAATACCAAGGTAAATGATAAAAATATGAAAGAATTTCTAATAGTTACTTTTGTATACATTAATCTCTAGACGATCACTAAAGAATATTTGACAATTGCATAACAAAAAGTGCTTTTTAACTTATAATTTAAATGTTAAAAAATACCATTTTAAGAGAAATGAAGGCACTATTTAAAAAAATATTCAATTTTTAATGCTAACTTAACACTTTATGTATATTGTAAAGAAAAATTAAATGCAAACTTTCTTTCCTAAAGAGTTTCAGTTTCTAACAATAAAAGAAACTCTACTATTTGAATAGGGATACTAGCAGAGTACCTACTAATTTTTCTCAATATTTCGAACTATGTATCAACAAAAAAACACCAAACAAATCCAAAATAAAAATACTAAAAAGACTCAATTGAAAATTATATTAACCTGGACCTCAATATCAATTTCAATAATGCAATTTTTTTAATATAATAAAAAAAAATTTGAATTTAATGGTGCATTTCCTATGCTAATAAAAAATAAAAGAACTCTTTTAGATCAGTTACATTACTGGGTGACCCTCAATTTTACAAAATATTTTAAATCACAAAAAAAAACTTTATTTTTGAAAAATGTAAAAAATTTTCTTGAACTTTATTTTTTAAGACTTTTCTTGGATAATTTTAGGAACGACTTTTTAAAACTCTAATTTTAAAAAAAAATATATATATATAGATACATATTTGTTAGAAGTGAATCATCCATAAGAAGTTATAGTTAAATGAATCATCCATTAAGGAAATAGACAAGTAAAACAAGTACCATATGTAAAAAGGAATGTCAACGCATGAGATTTTCATGAACTTTTAATTTAACCAATAGAAAAGAGGGAAGTAATTAATGTAAACAATACTGTAGCAGTGTGTTGTGATTGAGAATATTAAAAAAAGAAAAAAGTGTTTAACATTAGAACACATCAGTTGAAGAAAGGGCCGAAACAGAAGAAATTTATCAAAAGTACATGAAGAAATAAAGATGTTGATATAGTTTGAAGTATAAACATATGACACAACTCTCAAGTTATTATTTTAATATAGTGTTAAAAATATTTGACTTTCAGTAACGCAAATCTTCGACATCATTAAATATCTAGTGTTTCCCCCTCCGAGTTCTTGATACCAATGCCTGACTAAAATTTAAGTTATTTAAATAAAATTGTAAAAAAAGACGCAACAGACAAAACACACAACATTCTTCTAATTAGGATAAATGCAACTGGAATAAATGTTTAATTATTATTTAAATAAAAAAAACTATTATTGTATTACTTTAAATATAACTTTTAGTATCTAGCAAAATAATAAAATACTTAAAATATATACAAATGAATAAAATAATTTTACAGTAGTCTTAGTAGTTATTAATTAACTGACATTTTTATAAATTTGGGATAATAAAATATGTTAGAATTGATCTTTAAATTATTTGTGAGAATTAACTTATTTCTATATTTCTGTTTATCACAATAAAATGTTTATGTACAATGTAAAAAAAAAAAAATGCAGTGACCAATAATGTCAGTAAATAAAATACAATTTCACAACCATCAATCCATATAAGATGGCATCACATTAGTGTAAATGCAAAAACAAAGTTAAATGCATATTAAGTACAAATGCAATAATCACAAGTAGAGAAAATTTCCGTATTGGTACCTGCTCATGCTAATTACAACCGACCATCATATTTTAAGTTATCAATTTTCTTTTATTAAGTGATTTCGATATTTGCCTGGGGTTTGCTGAGTTATACCCTTTAAGTTGGTCCCCTTTTGTAATGCGTTTTTAGTTTCTTGTGGCCACTGTCCAGAAATCAACAAAACTTGTGAATTATTCTGGAGAAAGTACCAATACAGAAATCTTCCCTACAAATACATTCAGTAGTTAAAATCCCAGACTTTAAGGTAATGATGATAACAATGGTTGCTGGGTTTCTGGGTCTTCTGACATAAGTTCTACTTTCACCCATTCCCTCTGTTTCGAAGATAAACGAATTGAATCTATCACAGCCTGAATGTACTGTCCATCTTCAAATGATGCAGCTATTGCAACAGGCTCTTTCACCCAGCTCTGCAGATCATCTTGAGAAGCAAATGCTTCTTTAAGAGCACCAACCATTTTAACTAAGCCTTTCATATAAGGTTTTGGTAATAAATTTTCAGCAGAGTCTGGTACAGACATATTTATATTGTTAAAGCTCATTGCAGAAGATTGTTTAAGGTCCTCAATATCCAAATATAAGACTTCTTCCTTAATGGAATTTATCTTTTGTCCATAAAGATCTCCACCACGTACAACTACGTAGCCATTAGATCCACAAAGTAACACTTCCTGACTAAACTGCCCTGGCAAATGCTCATTCAGTGTAACAGTAGCACAACCTCCTCCTTCTAGTTCCATTTGAAATGCACAGAAGTCATCGCTGGTTATTTGCCTAATGCCCTCAAAATGACAAGTTTTAGTGAACGTTTTGACCATCCCATGAACTCTTTTGGCACGCTGACCTGTTGTATAGGCAATTATATCAATGATATGACTTCCTACATTAGTAAGCAATCCACCACCCATTAGTGCATCACAAGACCAATCATAATGATCATGTAATAAACTACCACACTGAACTTGCACATCACAAATAGTCAGATCACCAATATATCCTTCCTTAACAGCTTTTCTCATCTGTGCAAATGCGGGTAAAAAGCGCAAGCTGTGGAATAAAACGGATATTAAAGAAGGATAATACTGGGCAGCATGGACCATTTTCAGTACTTCAGTTTGGCATAATCCGGCCGGACGATCACATAAAACATGTTTTCCAATGCCAAGAGCTTTGACAGTAATTTGAGAATGAAGATGTGGAGGGCAAATTATACAAACTAGATCTACACCTTTTCTTAGTAAAACCTCATCAACTTTATCAGTAAAGAAGGGTATTTCTAATTCTTTAGCAATTTTTTCAGCTGTTTCCTTGCTTCTTCCCCAAATAGCTTCAACTTTAAATCCCCGAGATCGTAAACATGGCACTAGAACACGAATTATTTTACCAGTGCCAAAAACACCGACACTGGGTAACATATTCAAATTTTTTATAGCACTGTCACATAAAAAAGCAACATTAGTCCCTATGATTTCATTAAAAAAAATCAGACGATAGCTACTCTTTAGGACTGACAGCAGTCACTTTTAGATAGTAAACAAACAATCACCATTTAATGTTAACTACGATAACAATGCAATTTCGAAATATCGATATTTTCATTATCGATATTATTATCTTTTCGATATTTTGCTTGTTTTATTGTTATCAATATTTTTAAGGTTTTTGGTCAACCGAAGGCTTTTGGTACGACTTATCTTATACTACATCCATCTACGCAAGCGATTCTTCGGCCCTAAGCTGGCACTAGAAAAATCCTATAGGCATCCAACTGCCAAACAAATGTGACTTGTATTTGCATGAGATCTCATGCAGAGTTGATAGATACTTTATTTACGTCACACCAGAGCTGCACAAAAAGCTATTGGCGACGGTCTGGGAGACATCCCAGAGGATGATCGGAGGACATGCCATCCTCATGGTAGGCACGTGAGGTTGACATGTCTGCTCCACTCCTCCAGAAGAGCTCCTTCCAGAGGGTTTGTGAGGGTGGTAGTTGTCCAGAAATTCGTCTACCTAGAATGTCCTAAACATGTTCGATTGGGTTTATATCTGGAGAACACGCTGGCCAATCCATTCGCATGATTCATTCCTCCAAAAGCAAATCATTCACCCAGTTAGCAAGAGTTGACAAGCAGTTGTCGTCCATAAACATGAAGTCATCTCCAATTGTTGCCGCGTATGGGTTTCAGTATCTCATTCCAGCATCGACGACCGGCCAGAGCTCCATTTCGAATGATACGGATATAGGTGCATCCATCCAGCATAGGTGCATCCATCCATAGGTGCATCCATGCATGCAGCAAATTTTTCACTTTCGTGCACGAACGCAGGATTTTTTAAATGACACTTTCCTTCCAAATAAAAATATGCCTAGTATCAGAATGAACAAACAAAAAAAAAAATGGGACTCGTCAAAGAAAAGAATATTGCGCCACTCATTTCTCCTCCAGTTCACATGCTCTGTTACCCACTCCCTGCTAGCGCGACAGTGCCTTGCTGTTAACGGGATACACACCATTGGTCGGCGAGCATACAGACATACAGCGTGAAGACGGTTTCGGACAGTTTGTGTCAAAACTGTGATGCCTATAGCAGAGGGGATGTTTCCCAGACCGTCGCCAATAGCCCATTGTGCAGCTCTAGTGCGACGTAAATTAACTACAACAACAACCCGAGCCGTCAGCGTTACATAACTGTCTTCATTGAGTGTTGTTGCACGTCTGCGCACTTGCCTCGATCTTCGGCCTGCATTTTCAGTCTCCAAAAAATGGTTCTAGATCCTGGAAATCACGCCTTGTGATACGAAACCTAAATGGTTTCTGCTACTTCGGCTTGTGTTTGGCCGCCCTCTAACCAGCCAACAAATCTTCAAGCTTCTTTACAGCAATGCGCTTTCTGAATGTCGATTATTCTTTTCCGCTTTGACTTACATTAAGTTGAAAGAGAAATCAGATTCGCTGCCGCTAAATTGTTGTCTTCGACATCAAACTAAAAACTTGCATACTGTAAAGTTTGAAAATAAGAAAAATTTGCCTTTGTGAATCTCTTCTTCCATTTTAAGCAGAAAAAAAAAATAATACATACTTTTTTTTCTGCTCATACCGTTATTTAACCCATTAACGCCCACTGTCCTCAATTGAGGACAGTCAATAAAACATTATGTAACATTTTTATTTTTATTTCAAAAATAATTTTTCTTTTCTGGGAAGATAGTTGGCAGCACTATCAACACACCTGCAATATTTTTAATAAATATGCTGCAATATTTGGTTTGTTATTTGGATCGCCATTTTGAGATTTTTCTAGCCTCACACAAGACTCTTCTTTTTACGCAGTCATATCAAATAAAATAAAGGCAAATTATTTTATTGCAGTTTTTCTCTTAAGAGTATATTTCAAAATATAACGCTAAATAAATTTGTATTTTACAATTTCTTTTCTTTTTATATAACATTATATTTTACTGTCCTCGATTGAGGACACTGGGCGTTACAGGCAAATTTTAAAGAAATTTCCAGAATTTGTTTTAATCCATTTAATTACCCATACGTGTTTGTATTTTGATAGAGTAAGTGAATTTCAGAATTTGTAGACATTTTTTTAACATTATTTCATTTATTTTAGGAAATTATTTTACCTTGTAAGCGTTTTTTAAATCTTCGTATTTCTTTTCCAAAAATTCAATCCAATACTATATCCCGTAAATTTCTTACAATAAGATAGGATTTCTTACAATAGCTCAGGAATATTTGTTTTCAAACAAATTTAGGCAGTTATCATTTCAAGGATTTCCTGAGGTTAATGACTACGATTTGGATGGAATGACAATAAATCAATTACAATTGAAATGAATTTCAAATAAATAAATTCTGTGGGGGCAAACAATGAGGTGGTGGAAAGTACGAAAGGAAAGAGTGCCTGTACCGCAATAAAAAACCATATGTGAGTACAACACTTTCATGGGGGATGGGGATCAACATACCTGTTTCCTAGAAAAGCACACTAAATCAATAAGGGGCGAAAATGGAATTGGTGTTTATTTACAAGAATGATAGACATGTAGACAAAGCTCTTAACAAAAAAGAGAGTAAGAAGCAGATTTCAATAAAGTATGTTCGAGGTATGATCGTCGTAGCATATTTGAAAAAAGGACATTTAGATCGAGTAGACGGCAAATGATAAAATCAACCTCTACTGCTGCAAGTAGGATCGTACTACTGAAGTACGATCCTATTGGACATACAATAGCAAAAAGGGAGAAGCAAAGACGTTGTCAGATGAAAAACTGAACATCAAAACCACGAACATTTTATCAGAAATGCAACGTAACATCATGCATGCTTTCTTTTCCGAAGTTTCATAATAAATTGAACAACTAAGTGGTATATACTTCAGTGCACATTTTATATGCTTTCATGTACTGAATATTTTACGTATTTTTAATTATTTGATCAGTCCCGCAGTGGACTGATCGTTAAGACACGGTTCCCATCAGATCACCGAAGTCAAGCATCACTGGCTGCGGTCAGTGTACGGGTGAGTGACCCACTTGGATCAGTCTGCGTAGGGACCGAGGGTGTGCGGTGTTGGTCCTCGTTAAACTGTGCTACAGTAAAGTGCTCTTCTTCGAGTGCAGGTCGTTGGGCTACCGAAGCGGGGGTGCCATCCCCTGAGCAGAGGATCAAAATTGTGATGGCATGTCTTCGGATCATCCTCGGGGATGTTTCCCAGACCATCGCCAATAGCCCATTGTGCATCTCTAGTGCAACGTAAATGAACAGCAATAAATGTACTTAAGTAGTTTAAAAATGCTCTACTAAATAAATATACATAAAGTGAAATTACGTGGTATTATTTATTTACTGAAATTGGCTCTTTTCATTTCATTCCTTTTTTGTAATTCCAAAATTAAAAAATAATAATAATGTTCGCAAACATTATCAGAAGTCTAATATTTGATTTAGTTTTCAGTAATACTACAATTTATACTTATTCTGTACCAAAGAAATTAAATAGATTTTTAAAATAAGAACTAACTACAATATTTGCATGTTTTATCAAGAAAAATCATTTTTTCTCTAGAATGCCCAGTGTCCTCAAATGAGGACGGGTTGTAATTTTAAAATTAATGCAAAATATGCACAAATTTTTAGGTTTATACTATATTTAGGTCATAATAAATAGGATTTGAAAGATTCATTGAAATATATTAAGTGGAATTAATTTGGGCGTTAATGGGTTAATACAAGACTTACAATATACATTGTTTTGAGCAGTGTATATTAAAAACTTTTGAGTTAAGAACTCAAAACTACATTAAACATAGTTCTTAAGGAAACTGTCATGGAAATTTTAGAAAATATTTTTGTCTATTGAATAAGAAAAATGATATGGAAGGGGAAAATATAGTATACATATATTCCTATTCAACTGAGAAGAGGGAATCGGTCTTCTCTCCAGATGACGCATTCGAGCATTGCGATCGTCAAATTTACTTTTTGCGTATTTTGCCATATCTCAAGAACTTTTAAAACAAATCGCGAAATTTCTGCACATAATTATTAAAAGTTGTCTATCCTAGATGATTGCACACAAAAAATAACTTTTAGTAAATATTTATTATTTTATTTAATGATAGTCGAAAAAATTTTGAATAGCTAGGTATAAAATTTTTTGTATTATTTTAAAGAAAATAATTTAATGACAAAATAAAAAATTTGAGCGAAATCGGTCGAATAGCTCCAGACCAACTTTAAAAAAGTCGGATACATAAAATTTGATTTCTCAGGAACTATTCAACCGTTTTTGCTTAAGATCGCTTTTCAATGAACCTTATTGATATGCAGCCTCGATTATCGTCTAATAAATTGGATCTAGCAAAACGCAAAGCTTAAGCTTGCTTTTGATACGTATGATAGCTTTTTCCTTTACTGAAAAAATGCTCATACTTAAGCATGATATGGCAGCATTTGCGTCGGATCTCATTTTTAGTCAGGTAAGGTTTTTAGAAACAACAATTTGAATAAGCAACCACATATTGTATTTTCCCCTCTTTGGGTTTACATTTCCTTTCATAAGAAAACGGGTACCTCTTAAAAAGTTATTGGTCTTATAAGAACTTGTCCCCAAATCTTAAAAAAAAAAAAAATTAAACTGCACATTTTATCATTCATAATGAATAAAATTGTGTTTCACATTCCTAATGAGTGCAAAATTTTCTAAAAACATATGTTTTGCAAGTTTTCTATTTATAAACTGGACTTAAAAATACAAATTTAAAATTATTTAAATTTGAAAACAGAGTATAACTTATCTATTATTACAAATTTGAGACTTTTCAAATATGCTACGGTTGGAATATAATGTTTGTAGTACTAGAAGTTACAAACCATGTCAACCGTCATCTATGAAAAGGTACCCCGACATAGTCGAGTTAACATGTCTCAGATACTAGTGAATTGCAGTTGTAATTTCGTAGTGGTAGACACGTTGCAGTACTCCCCCACCAGAATTATATCTGTTATAGAATTCGATAAACGGATACCACTAGTTAAGTCATTGCTATTTTTCGCGCGAAGCCGGGAGAGCTATATTAAGATCACCATGCATTTTTAGTGATGAATGTGAGAGGTGTATTAACTTCACGTTCGTTGTCGCTCCTGTGTTGCCGTTAGTAGTCGAGTGTATGCAAGCCGACGTTGTGCGTGATCGAGACGAGACTGAATAGCAACAGTGTAAGGAGGTGGATAATGCCGCAGTCACAAGTAGCAAGTCAACTGTTCAATGTGGACCATCCATCGAAGTAGGCGTTTCTAGATCGAAGTGGGTGTTACTGTCAAGATAGGCGTGTTCATATCGAAGTGGGAGTTTCTGTCAAGGAAGACGTGTTCACATCACGTCCGGGTCACCAATGTGGGGCTAGTAGTTACAGACCATGTCAACCTTCATCTAGGAAAAGGTACCCCGACATAGAGTCGAGTTAACATTTCTTATATACTAGTGAATTGCAGTTGTAATTTTGTAGTGGTAGATACGCTATACGTTTATGTACAGGTGGCTGAAATGATGCAACAGGGTAGTTTTGAGTATCAGAAGTTATTGAAACTTATTTCACTACTTAGGCATAGGAAGATTTTCATTGTCCCTTTAGTGACAGCTGCTACATAATAAATGGGTAATTTTGTGTTATATTGGTCTACAAAAAGTCTACTGGAAAACATTTGATAGTTTAACATCTTGTAAGGGTGAAACATGAAAAAATTTGGACTCATAAACTTGAGGAGGAAAGAGGAAGTGGGAGTTTTTGATTTGGAAAAAGTGTTCTTCTAAGATGTTTGTATGAAGTGTTTGTGTTGTTGAAGTGTCTCTAAGTGTTTGAGCACTGTGATCGCAAATTTTTTTGAACTTTGACAGCATCGAAGAATAAATATTTCACTTTCCAAAAATACCAACATTTGTTAAAAAATTATTTTTATTTTATTTTTTAAAACGAATTAATATTGTTGAACAACACAAAACAGAGTTATTTGGTATTTGTAAGGGTCACTACTAAAACTGGGGAAAAAATTATCACAGATTTAAAAAAGGAGTGTGGAGTTATCATTATAGCATTACCAGTGCGGCACAGAATTTCATATTTTCTAGCCTGCCTCATTTCTTGACCAATTCCTTTCTATATTCTCACATGAATTAGCATTATCTGGCAGATATTTTGAATGATTTTATAATTCAATTTTTTTTCAACTTAAAGGATTGTTTTGACATTAACATATTAAAGATTAGAAGTCGAAATTTTAGGTAATAGTCAATCTTTGTGGCTAAATACTAATAGAGTATTTAAAGTGAAAATTTAACTGAACTATATGAATCATACAATTCCTACAGTGCTAACAGACATTACAAAAGGAAACTTAAGCTATTGCATCAAGAAAATGCTTCGAAACAAATATAATATTAAACTTTAGTTGTTAAACTCCTCTCAAATACACATGTTCATGTTAAAATATTAGTTTCATTCTTTTGACAATAAATATTGGTGAAGCAAAAAACAATTTTAATTTAATTGCAGGGGATTGAAAAAATCAATGGCAGAATCTGGAAAAAGGTAAGGACATGCATGCTCTTATGAGATCTAAATCATATAAGAACTTATATATAAATTAATAGGAAATTTGAAACCTCTAAATAAATAATGTTTATGGCAATGTTTGTCTAAATAAACAATGTTTATGCTTGGCCTCTAAATAATAAAATTTATGGCAAGCAAAACCTTCTTTCCGCTGTTTGGTGTTACTATCTTATCAGGGTGAGTAGGCTTGCATGTGTTGAAGACCAACTGTCTACTATCTCGTAAAAACCTACCTGTTACAGAAACTGAAATCATGCACATCTCTCCGAAGTGGATGAAAGCCCTCTACCTAATATGTTCCCTTTAGTTTCACAACCTTTGCTGAACAGCCAACCCAATTTAGGGTTTATGGCTACTAATGTTTAACTCCGTAGCCTTGTAATTTTGAACCTAATCCAGAAGACAAGGGAACTACAAGATCAAGTATTAGGAGAACTTTTGTCTTTGTGGAGGACTTTTCGATGTAACTAACTCGCATTTGCGTTACATGGAGAGGAAAACCACGAAAACCTTCCACGGTTACTTTGACGGCAAGGGGACTCTAACCCATGATCCGTCGACCACTCAGGATATTTTATGTCAGCATCGAGCCGGGTGCGGAATTCGAATCAACCAGCTATCGCTGGGATCGAGCCCGGGCCACCTCATTGTGAGGCGAGCGCTCTAACCCCTGAGTCACCATGACTCTTCCTTTTAGTTGGTATGAATCATGGTTGTGACCATGTGACCTAAAAATACTTGGGGCAGGACGATTGTAAGTGAATTGAAAACAATAGGAAAGCCACGGAGAGAGGCAAAATATCAGGCAACAAAAAGGGTGAGATAGAAAGCTGCTGTAGATGCCCTATGCTCTAATTCAGAGCAAAGAGGAATATATAATGCAATACCTCATTAATAAAATCATTTTCAGAGACGACCAAATCTTCCTGTTTTCTGGAAAACATTGAAACACTTCTTAAAACAAAATGATGAAAAATCTTGGAATTTATAATAATGTATGCTAAAATAACTAAAAGGTTATATTTTTGATAATATGATCCTATGTATCAGTGGCAATAAGATAACTAATACAAAAGTATCGTAAGCATGTGGTAAGAAAAGGGTTTGAACTGAAAATACTTTTGCACACGTGTAAGAGATTATTATTATTTTTTAATTATGAAAATAGTTAATAGTGAATCAAAATATATAAATAAAATAAGCAATATATTTTAAACTTTAATAAATAGTATAATAATTAACAGTTTTGAATACAAAAATATAGTATAGAAATATCAGATGAAAGAACCTTACAATATGAGAATAATGCTGATTTGTTACTTCAATTCTTAACTTTATGGAATTTAATTAAATGTTTCAGTAGCTGATTTTTCAATTTGAAATTAATGTCACATATCTCACAATGATAAATATTTTCAGGTTTGTTATGAGTTTTTACATGATTATTTAATTGTTTAGCAGTTTTAAACCCTTTACTACAGACATTACACACATGCACTGTTTCGGGCACTACTGGAGTTGAAGACACTTCTGAGAAACTAGAAACTGTTGGCGGATTTAAAAAAATTTCTTGACTTTTGCTCACATCAATAAATTCAGTGCTCTCTTTGGCCCCCTCTCCAACGGTCAGCACCTGAGCTTCTAGCAACTCTCCTGTCTGGACTATGTTATTAGTACCATTCTTAAGTAGACTAGTTCCTGGTATGATTAAAGTCAGATTGTCAGAATTCTGCATATCAGTTTGTTGTTGAGAAGCTATTGTAAATCCCAGTTGCTGAATAATCATATTAGGATTTATTGTAAATGTATTAGAGTTTGAAACAGGAGTATTGCCATCAATGCTAATAATCTGTTGGGTTTGATTAGAATCTGTAGATGGTTTGGGATTTATCAGTTGGGATTCACTGACTGCAGGATTCAAAGTGATATTGAAATTAAGTCCCTGAAGTTGTTGGAGTACTGAGGCATCTATTTGAAATGGTTTTGGAAGTAATGTGTTGGGATCAATGGTGGTTAACTGTACATTGGGATTGAATAAATTGGCCGGCAGTTGAAAACTATCTGAAGTAAAAGTAGGCAGTTCTGTACATGCTTCTGAAGAGAAGGCATTCACAACATCTTCTCCAAGAGTAACAAGTGTTGAACCCATGATATTATTCAGCTGCAGTTGTTCTTTTTCAGCAGTTGTATTTGTTAATTTACGTTTACGATTAGTACGATCTTTAAAATGTGAAGCCATGTGACTCTTACGATGACCAGAAGTTCTAAATGTCAACTCACAGTGAGGACACTTAAAGGGTCTAGCACCTGAAAAAATGATAACTATATAAGTAACACGTCTTGATAGTTTTACTTTTTTCAAAATTAACATTTATTACACATAAATAAATATTTATTACAATTTCTTAGAATACTTGAGCACTGTTACTTGTGAACTGCAATTACTAGTGTAATTAATGTGGTAATTTACGTTGATCACACATGTTTGAAATAACTAAGTGTTTTAACTATTTTTAATGAGAGAGAAATAAATAAACACATATGTAATATATTATGTAATGTAATAAACTGTGAAAGAAAAAAATAGTTTACAATGCAAACAAGTATTTGAAAAAAAAAATCTTCATGAATAAAAAATATTATTTTCTTTCCTTATTGGAGAAACAAAATAGAAAAGACACAAAATAAATTGACAATACAATTAAAGCTATAATCAATAATCATAAAAATAATTGTTTGGTTTTCAAATAAGGTGTTAGTTGTTATAAAGAAGAAAGTAAATAAACAAATCTATGATATTCATTTTGAAGTGTCTGCCTACTTTTTTTCACAGAGCATAAAATATAAAAAGAGTTACAAATACAGTGAAACAGCCAGCAAAGACCAACTCTATGCAGCGACCACCTCAATTTACAACCACATTTGAGAGGCATGGAATTTTTTTTCACAGTCTTTGTATTCAAGAAAACCTTTAGCAGAGACAATCAAACCTCTACTATCGAGAAGGAAAACCTCTGCACCAAATGCGGTAAAGGTCAAATAAGGAAACACAAAAAAAAAAAAAATCAAAAAATTTTTTAACAAAACAAAGAATTGATTTCATTGTAAAAACAATGGTTTTGTTGCAAAACAGCTATTAAATTGTTTTCTAATTTAATAATATATTTATAGTTGAACAGTATTTTAAAGTGGTCATGGTGAATGTTGTTTTGAGATCACCATTACACCATTCCTGCAAGAATCAACTGGATTATGTAATAATTCTCATGGGAACTACAGTTATCAATCTTTATGGTAAATTCTTTTCATCTGCTACGTGCAAAGCTTTAGTATTTTTAACTCAACAATACCAGAAATGCCAACTGCTCTGGACATGCCAAAATAATAAAAAAAAACGGTAAATAACTACAAAGTAAATTTTGCAAATATTTGACTGTTTTTGCTTGTTTTTTAAAAGGTACAGCATGACATAAGTACGATAAAGTGGTGAATTATATAAGCCTACGAATTATTTAGAAATAGTGTTGGATAAAAATCTACTAAATTGAATTTATTAAACCAAGAATCACAATTGATAAACTACCACTTTAAAATATATATTTGCTGTCCGGAGCAAGTTGGCATCTCTGCAATACGCTTGCTAAATCTAAGTGATGATTGTTCCTGTCAAGTAAAGTATACAAAAGTAAAACATTCCTGCAATAGTCGTTCATGGATATTAAGGCTCCACAATTTTGTGATAAACAGCATGGTTACAGTAATGTAGTCAATACTGTGCACAAGCTGCTTTTACTTCCCAGACAAGCTCGTACCCATCAATCTGCAGATGAGTGGGCTTGAGACTGGGGATTGAACCCCAGTTCTTCACAGTCACAGTTCAGTGCCTTAATCACTGAGCTATAAGTGGTTCATAAGAATGCACCCTTTAAAAATGTACCATAAGGATGCACCCTTTTAAAATGTTCAAAAGTAAAGGTAAGCCTACTTGATCTTGCTTGTTTTTATCTTTCTTTTTTAGAATTGTCAGAAAATTAAAAATAATTGAATTAACTTTTGAAATTGTGTTTTATAACTACTTTTCTTGTTTTTTAAAAGATATTATTATCAAAAATCAGTCTGATAGATAATTAACAAATTGCTATTCGTTAGTGATCTGAAAAAAAAATATTTTAATGGTATTCATATAATTATATTAACTTTCTACCAAAAAAAGTGAAGCAACATTAGTGGTGTGAAAGGTTATGTGAACATAAGAATGGGCAACTAAAAATTTTTTTATACAAATATATTGTTGGCAAATCTCAAAAAAGTAAAGAAAAAAAAATATTAATAACAAAAAAATACCTGTATGAAGTCTCATGTGAATCTTTAGACTTCCCTTTGTAGCAAAAAGAGAATTACAGACATGGCAAGAAAAGTTTTTTTCACCCGTATGTGTTTTCTGATGGCTTATTAATGTAGACTTTACAGTAAAAGCTTTGCCACAGCTCTCACAAGCATATGGTTTTTCCCCAGTGTGAATTCTTAGATGTCGAACAAGATCACTGGGCTTCTTGAAACTCTTTGGACACTGTGAACATTGATGAATTTGCTTAGGGGTATAATCCCTTCCTCCCTGAAAAAAGAAAAACTTTAATAAAAACTGAAATCAAACAGAGGTACATATAATACTGATGAATTTGTTGTAGGGAGAAAGAATAATTCAACTAGAAAATAATATGACTAACACGCGGGAGGAGCATTGGCCCTAAGAGATTTCGATGAAGAAAACTGAGCTAGATAGCCTTGGATAACAGGTTGTAATGCTGAGGAGGAAGCAAAATATAATAATCTTAAGTTCAATCCCCTTATGAACGTGTTGTGATAAGTTAGTTTTATGTTTGAGGATAATTTATAATTCATCACTTTACAAAATCAACCATTAAATATTTAAAACAGAGAATTCTCCTCTTTCCAAAAAAATAAATAAATAAAAAAATATTCTTAGTTGTTTTGAGATAAGGCAGGCATAACACAGGAAAATGGCTTTTACTATAAAACCTTAACTTTTACTCTTGAATGATTTGATAGCTTTAAATATATTACATTGCGAAGTATGTTGTAAAAAAGGAAATCATATTACAAATAAAAATTAATGAATAACTCTTCTATTAGTTGTTTCAAATTGTCATTAATTATTAACTCCTAACTGGAACCAATTTCAACAAAGAGCTAATTTGAAGATTTAATACTTAGTTAAAAAATGTAATTGAATTTAAAATTTCTTCCTCAGAGTTTAATGCCATTAACTAAAGAATTCAGTGATTTAGAATGCAGCAAAACAATATTTTTAAAAATTTATTCAATTAAATTGTTCACAATTATAAAAATTCTGTAACTATTTCATTGTTAATTAGTAGTTGTAAATAATTTCATTTTAAATCATTTCAAACATACTCTGTAAAGAGATTTATAAACTAATATCTATCATACAAGATTTGATTTATAACTGCATTATCTAAAAACAATAAACAAATAGCTCCCATTCAGCTTTATAAAATTTCATTACAGGAAAGTTCAATCAATCAAGTTTGTTATTTCTCAATATAATAACATTCAAAAGTCTGAATTCTGAAACAACAAAAGTGATAAGTGACTTCAATCACTTTTGAATAAATTGTAAGTTCAACATATCAAATTCATAGTATTTTAAAATAATTAATCAAAACTTATCTTTATATCAAATGACCAACAGTCATGTGAAAGATATGGTCATCACTAAATAACTTTGAGAATTAAGACTTTTAACTGAAAATTTGAACTTTTTGTATAAGTCTTACATCTGTGCAAAGTTAAACCCATAATATAATTTTAATATTGATTTGCACTGATTACAGGAATTATAGAAATCATGTGGGGAAAAAAGGAAACATCACATCAGAAAAGTAGATTAATTTTAAAAATAATAAAAAACTGGTAAAAAAAAGCAAAATTCAATGAATCCACAGAAAAGTGGCATGCCTGTATAACATTGGTTTTTAATTGATTAAGTCATCAAGATTAATTTATAGCTAAGATTGATTCATTGCTAAAGTCATCAAATCCCCAAAAAAGTAAACCTTCTGAAGGCACAGCTTATCTAAGTATAACCATCTTCCTAGAAAATGAATTAACGATAGATAAAGGTACCTATCACTGATAAAAACTATTTTAAAGTTGAAACTCATTACAAAAATGATTAAATTTCAGACTTTAAAATAAATTATACTCACTCCTCTTTTGCTTTCTTTCAGAGACTTTAAAAATATCTTTTCAACTACATCAGTATTATTGGACATTTGTACTTGAATTGTTGATTTTTCTAAGTTCTGATCAGGTGTTTCAATACTTACTCCTTCCTGTACAACTTTTTCTGGCATATTTTCAGACATTTCTTCGTGAATTCTCTCAAAGATTTCATTTATAGGTTCTATAGTCAAAATATTATACAAAATTAATGAAAATGTAATGTTCAAATATTTTTAACCATAGTAAAAAAAGTTTCACAGATTATTTATCTAAATAACTTTCTTTTTCGCTAAAAAAAGAAATTTTTTAAATAACTAAAACTCTGATGGTTAAATTTTCATGATATAAAACAGTTTGAGTAACCGACTAAGATATTTCTATGATTTAGTACAGACAATTAATGAAGTTACAAAATCAGACTAAAAATTTTATTTTTTCTGATTTAATATACTTTTCTAGTGGATTTAGAACTCAAATCTGGAAAAATATGGTTTCAATAGTTGAGTCAAGAGAGTGATCAAAAGTAGAGGTGATTAGGAAATCGCTTCTGGTACCTCTCAACTCTCACCAAACACTTTTGATCAAAATCTTGGCTCTGTGTTTCTATCATTTATTGATGTTTAGTTGGGAAAAAAAGGTTTAAAGCTTTCCCTTATTATTCCAAACTATTCCTGATATGTATAAAATAAAGAATAGTTTGGAGGAAAAAAATCAATTTAAATAATTATTTTTACAATTTAACTGATTTATGCTTTAAGAGGTTTACTCTCTCTAACATCTCAGAAGAAATTTGATGGGTCAAGTAATCCTTTTCCCTTATCCATATCAAGTTCATGAACATAAAATTTGACCCTCTTCTACGTAAGAGCTGATAAACATAGTCTCTAGAATACGGTGGACATTCAGATTTAGAAGAATAGGTATTTTACATAAAAATTAGTTGGTATCAGGGCTGGTTTTCAGGCAGAGTAGTGTTATTAATAACGTTTAGATTTTTTAAACTAATTTGAAATATTTATTACAAGATTTTTAGTTTTTTACTGCACATAGTATTAATTTATAGCCTGTGTAAATAAATAATATAATAGTTAGTAAATAAATAATATAATAGTTAATAACCACTTAATTTATTTAAGAGAGTAGTCCAAATTTTGGACCCTATAATATTAATTTTATATTTTGCATATTTCACCATATCTCAAGAACTTTTTAAGGAAATTGAAAATTTTTTCACATGTTTATAAAATTCGTTTATCCAAAGAACTGTGCAAAAAATGCCATCCATTAGAATTTATCTTTTCTATAAAATATCAAGAGTAAAAAAAAAGTAAATAAACATACCTTCCCTGATTCCTTGAATTTGATGATATTCATCCAAATGTAACTTATAACAGTCCTTTGTCATAAATTTATCAGAACAATAAGCACAATGAAAAGGATAGAGGTGTGTATCATGGGTGTTCATATGCCTCAAAAGGTTATAATTAGTAGTAAAAACAGTACTACAAATGGAGCATTTAAAATCCCGGACATGTTCATGCTTAGTTCTGATGTGCTGCTTCAAGACTCTATTGTGACTAAACATATCCCCACATATTGTACACCAAAAAGACTTCTCACCAGTATGAGAGATTATATGTTGTTTCAGATGGCTAGTTTTCTTAAATGTTTTTGGACACTGATCACACCTGAGGCAAAAAAGAAAACACAATAAGTATAACTTCAACTATTTAATTAAAAAGCAGTACATGCCTTACAATAAATTAAAACAACTTTAATCTTTCTAGATTATTCTAATTCAAATAAACTAGATTGATTAATCTACTTTAATAATCTAGAAAGAATCTTAAATCTAGAAAGATTATTTGATGTTATCTATAGTATATGTATAAACATATAGAGCAGGCTGCTGGCTTTTCGGATCATGGCTATTAAGCCTAGTAAAAAAATGACAAATAATGGAACTGATCTTTAGAAAAACTTGATGGAGGAGGTGAGAGAGGCAAAAACAAGAAATGCTAAATTGGATGCCAGGGCAATTCTGCTATTTACAAATGTCGTATTTGATAAATTTAAAAGCACTTAACTCAGTTAAATGTGTTTGTAATCCTAACATTGATATATATTAAATACACAAAGGAAAGTTCAAGAAGGACACTGTTTAAAAAGTTAAATAATATGTTTTCTAACTATGTATAACTTCTTAACTTACATTTATTTTTAGGAGTTCTAAAAAGGTTCAAGATTTTTAGATATTTTTTAAATCGAATTAAAAGTTTATTGCTGACATTTGTAGGTTGATTAACAATGAAAGTACAAGAAAAATAAGAAGTATTTAAACTGAAATGCATAGAATTTTTTTTAATGATAAAATTTACTTGAATCAGAAATAATTGGATGATTACAATGAGAAAAAAAAACTCACTTGAAAGGTCTTTTAAACTTTTGCTTCTTAGGTACTTTAGATTTGATTTCTACATTTGCTGCTGGTGTCGTTTCAACTATAGTTTCTTGTTGCTGTTCCAAGATATTTGATAGATGTTCTGGTAAAAGATTTTCATTTGTTGTAGTAGATGAAACAAATTCCTCAGGTTCAGTATCAGCCTGTAGTATGGGTTTTAATTATAAATAGCATTATTAATAGCAACTAAATAATAACTTAATTGATAATTAAATAATAACTAATAATTTTTTTCTCAATTAATCAATTATTATATTATAAGCAAATAAGAATGAGTGGAAGAGGTTTATAAATGTAATGTATTCAATATGACACATTAGCTCAATTATGTAATACTTTTATTGCATTTTAGCGTGAAGCTAAAATTCCACTTTTTTGAAATATTTAAAAATGTATGCTAGTAAGTGCAGATTGTTCTGTATGACTGAAAAATTTAAGAATGGACAGTTATAGTTATACAGCTAAATATACAGTCTTCAATTGTTTAGAACATTTCAGAATGTTCTAAACAAAATATATGTTTAAAGAAAATCCATAAGATAAGTTTGTCACACAACTGAAATTTAAAGCTAATATTAAACTAATGTCTAAACATACATTTTACTACATATCTATCAAAATGGAGACTAAGTTGAATTATTTATAATAATAAAAAGAAAAGTGATGACCCCAAAAACTGCACTTATCAAGATACTTTTTCAATAAACTTTTATGAATCATATAACTGATGATAAATGCTGAGATTAAAGCTATAAAAATTCAATAAACTTTTATGAATCATATAATTGATGATAAATGCTGAGATTAAAGCTATAAAAATTGATGATAAATGGTATAATTTGGCAAATGTTGTTCTTAATAATTAGAATAGTTATAAAAAAGATAGCAAGCTCAATAATAAGTATGTGTATAAATATACAAAGATGTTTTTGTACACAATTATCTAGCTCATAGTCTCAGAAAAGAAGAACCAACACTAGTGGTGCATAACTTTTTCAAGTGAAGATAACTTGCTTAACAGGATGACCATTGAAAGGCCACATGCTCAAGTACTTAATACAGTCAAACCCCGCTATAGTGAACACAGTTTATTGTGAAATCCCGGATATAGTGAACGAAATGTTCGGTCCCGTGCCTTGCTATACACGTATAATGTTATTTTTTGTGGATACAGTGAACTAAAAAAGTGAGGAAGTTGGACATAATGAACTTTCTTCTGTCTTCGACTGAATTTTTTCTTCATTTTTTAAAAATATATTTGAAATGTCTACTTCAAAATAAATACTTATACTAATTTTTAAGACCATCCATAAGAGTGGAATGTAGCTATAAGCATTTTTTCTTGTTCGCTTCTTTTATCTCACTTTTCCATCCCTAAACAAAGACTAACCTAGGCAGATGTATGGACAAATTTTTCCCTGTATCAGCTAAAGATCACTAACTTTTTTTGTACGCAAAACTAAGAGTAATAAATTTAAAAGTAAGTTAACACATTTTTTATTACTACGCATTATTTTTCAGTCATTTTTGTATTTCATTTCTTCTGTCATTTATTTAAATAATGTATAATAAAAAGGAGTTCGGAACCATTAGTTAAAATTGCTTACGGAACGGATATAGTGAACTCCCGGTTATAATGAACAGAAATTTCGGTCCCTTGAAGGCTCAGTATAGCGGGGTTTGACTGTAGTTACAAAAATCTGTTAATTTTTAAACGAGCATCAGCATTCCAGACAATAAATTTTTTTAACAATGAACTAAGAAATAATGTACAAAATTAAATTATGCTTCTAAATATTACAATGTATTCAAAATTAAAGTATGCAAAACTAATATTTATTTCCTTCTTAACAAGAAAACGGACTTCACAAAACAAAATAAAAACATTATGGAAAATATAAAAATTTTCTTTTTTTATACATATATACACAAAAAATTAGACTAAAATTCATTTTAAAATGAATTCGATCCGTTAAAAAAAACTTAAGGTTTATAGAGAATAAAATAAAAGTAAAAATTAAATATTTGATTAAGTACATTAAATGCAAATTCAACTTAAAAAATATATATTATGAATGCAAACTTAATTTAATACAGCTTCAAGATTTTTATATTTAGTGAATTTAACAATAAGAAGTTGTATAAATGTTAAATACAAGACAGGTAATAAAAAAAAGAGAGAAAAACACCTTATATGCTATAAGGAATAAGAAACAAAATTACAAACAGTAAAAAGTTTAACATTTGCACATTTCGCTCTTTTTGAATTTTACATGTCACATATAAAAAAGAATCAGGAATTTAAAAATAAAGTGAAAATCTATAGCAATAAATGCCACAAAAGCAATTAACAAGACCTCATAGATTTACGATGAAACAAACCAGGTGTCAAAAAAAGATTTACTAAAATGTGGGGTTCAAGGATTGCATCTGGCATTAATACTGTATTAAAAATACTGGGATTTTAAAAACCATGTGGTTGTTCCGAACAATATGCGTAAAAAATAACAAAAAACCACTTAGATTTACGATGGAGTTAGGAGAATTAAAACACATCAAAAAGTGATAATTTAATTGCATAATTCAAAAGTAGTATATTGTGATGTAATTATTTTGCATTAAAAAAAATTTTATGCAATAATTTTAAAAACCATATAGAAATCCCTAGCAAAATAAAAATAAAAACACCAAAAAGTAATAAGAAAATTACATAAATTTATGATGAAATAACTGCAAATTCAATGCACTAAAAAGAATAATTCACTCAAATGTGCAATTCAAAAATTTCTGGATCATAATAGGGGGGAGTCGGGTTGCCCCGCTCACTTAAGGAGTATTGCTTATATTTCTGTATAATATTGAGTAATAATCAATATTGTTGCATGTTTCTATTGTTTTACCATCTACTTAAATAATGCAAAAAGAATAAACCAAAAAAAGAATAGTTTAACTTAAAAAAATAGAAATTTAAAAAAACATGTTCTTCAGCTCTTTTCAAAATGTGTCGGGTAGCCCCGCCCAGTTACAAAAATTATGCTTTTTGACTGTTTTTTCAGGTGTAAATGAAAGTGACCAATGTATTGACAACAGATAAACCTCATTTATCATTTTTATCACAAAATTATTTTATTTATTACATATTTATATACTTTTAGTGGATTCTATCATTTAATAACAACAATATTTGTCGTTAAAAATGCATATAACATTCAAATTTGAAGCAATAAAATAATAATCTTTGCAACCGTACATTTATCGACAAAATAAAATTGGGCGGTGATACCCGACATTCATGTGAGCAGGGCTACCCGAAATCCAATTTTTTTGTAAATTTGTAATTACTCAAACAATTTTTCACATATAAACTTCTTTCTTCGTGCAAATTAAACTTAAGACTACATACTTTAATGCTGTATGTATAGAAAAAATTATTTTTTTAGTATTAAAATGAAGTTTAATCGAAACATTCAACCAATTTTTCTTAATTTCATGACTACTGTATTCAACATATTTTCAAAACTATTGTTTACCATGTTTAAAGCTGTATAAATACTTGAAACTTTGAAAATAATCTTTTTTTAATACAACAATTAATGTCCGATGGCCCATTGACTTGAAAAAATATTCTATACATATGAAAATGACTGTGGGCGGGGGTATCCGCTGGGCGGGGCTACCCCACTCTCCCCTACTTAAAAAAACAACAGAAATACCATGTATTCATATATAGAATTGTCATGCTCTGATTTAATTACACATATATAGAAACAATAATACATAAGAAAGAAATATATAACATTGATTTTATTATTCTTTAGAAATAAGCTAAATTTTGTTACTTCAGTTTAACATGACTTCATAATGTATTCTGTGGATAAACATTAAATCTTATCTCGTTATATTTATTGAAATACAATAGTAACAATTGAGAAAAAGAAAACTTTTAGAGCAAATAATTTTTCAAAAGTTCACAATTTTTGAATAATTTTTTTGTATTATCAATTTAAAACATTAGTTTTTTAACATACATTTTAAACATAGTATCAAAAGGTTTGTCAATATTTTCCAGATATTATTCTTACAATTTTTCCTAAAAAAGTAACTGAAGCACATAAATGAGAACTCTGCTCTGAATTATTAAATAAAACTAAGTCCTTACTTTTTTCCTTCCAACATGCTTCAAGAAAATGGGAAAAATGTTTTTTTTTTTTTAAAACCTCAATGTATTTTCCCCCCCTTTTTTTAAAAAAAGTAATAAATATAACTACGATTAATCTTTTTCATTGTGTTTGGGTAGATTATAGTTTGTCCATTCCTAACTTGCCTTAAAGCATAATTTCTTAATGCTGAAAGTTTTCAGAGCTATCAGGTGTGAAAAAAGAAAATTTTTTTTTCTCTTCCTGTACCTAGACTAATTTTTTTTATGTTGATTAAGCTTGATTAAAAAAAGTTCTGATTTTAAGCTTTTATTCCTCTAAACCCATTCAATTAATTTATTTAACAAGTTAAGATTTAAGCTAAAGAGTCACAATAAAAATAAAACACATACTGTGAAAATGATATATTCAACAATTCTAAGAATTTGTCAGAATTACTGATTTTACTTGATTAATCAATGTGGAAACAATTGCTGCATTTACAATTAAAAGCAATTTAATGCTGACTTATTATTTTTTGTGACTATATAGTCTAATTCAATCTTTAATCACACTAGGAATATCTTAAATAGCATATTTTTTACTCAGTAAATATTTAATAAATTCTATCATAAAATTTCTTTCGCGTTTATTTTTTATCTTACAAAGTCATAGTTAATGCGGTTTGATAAGGAGATCTAAACATCTTCGGAACCAAAATAACTAATAGGAAAACTTTTTTCAATAAAATAATGTGACTATTTAAAAGTAAAAAGTCTCCCAATTTTCACATAGAAAGATTTAATTAAACAAGAAGAGACCATTAAAAACATGCTGATTATTCCTCACATTGATATCCACAAAAAGCAGCATACAATTTAATATTTATTTTGACACACTTAAACAGGGATGATTTTAGAATGAAAGAAATATTTATGTATTTCGAAAATCTTGTTGTTGCTGATCATTTATGATTTTTATCTCTCCAACTGAAAAACATTTTGAGTGATAAGTGCCAAAAGTTTTAAAAACACTTTTTACCTGCAAAGTCAACTGATTTCCCCCAAATTCTGTTTCAGGAATTGAGAATATTGGTGTTTGTCCAAAAACTTCTGACTGGCTCACAACTTCGATGTGCTCAATCATACCAGTATCTGGATTATACACCTCACGAGACAAATGCTGCGGCAATATTTCCTGCAATGGAAAGCAAATTATCATTGACAGTAGAATAATCAGTAATAAAATAAAATAATAGATACAAAAATACATACTGTTATAGTTATTTTAGTTGCGTCCTGATTAACAAAATTGTCTGTCACGGAAAGAACAGTTTCTTTTTCACAACCATTTTCTGCTAGTTGTTCTGTCTCATTATTTTGAACATGCGCTTGTTTTTCGACTGTATTGTTTTCAGTGGTTGAAGTGACTTTTTCAGCTTCTTCTGGATTATGAACCCCAACAACACCATCTGACATAACTGTAACAGACACTCCAGTTTCTAAGCCAAGAGCCAACTCATAGCGGTGAGTTTGCATATGCTTCTTACAATTCATGGCTGTTTTAAATGTTTTTTGACAATAAGGGCACATGTATGGTCTTTCATTGCTATGTATGCACATATGTCTTTTGAGAGAACCATTTGTGGTGAAAGCAGCATTACACACAGTGCATTGATAAGCTTTCATACCAGTGTGAATTCTCATATGGGCTTTTAAGACCCCATTTGATACAAAAGATCTTTGACATTGAGTACAAGTATAAGGTTTCTCACCAGTATGAGAACGTATGTGTTGCTTCAGATGACTTGATTTCTTAAAGCCCTTATCACACATAGAACAGCGATAGGGTCTGTCTCCCCCAAACTTATTTTTAATAAGCTCATTATACATTGCACTATTCTTTGATACAGGTTGAACTAAGCCTTCATCTGTAATGAGGATTGGTTCCTGCAATGGAACTGTAACATTGAGATCTAAAGTTTGTGGCGAAAGTTTCTTTTTAGAACGTTTTGAAACTTTATCCTTTTGGTGCGACGCCATATGGCTGTTTCGATGACCAGACGTTCGAAAGGCTTTATCACATATAGTACATGAAAATGGTTTGACACCACTATGAAGTAAAAGATGAACTTTCAAGCTCCCTGAGGTAGAAAACAATTTTTTACAATGTTCGCAGGAAAATTCTTTAGTACCAGAATGAGTCCTAATATGAGCATTAAGAGTACTTCGTACGGCAAATGCTCGATAACACTGACCACACTTAAATGGCCTTTCATGAGTATGTATTCGAATATGCCTGACTAAGTCACTCGGTTTTTTAAATTCTTTAGTACAGTACATACATTGATACCATCTAACACCACCAACACTCCTTGTAATGTGTTTTCTCATGGTGCCAGTAGCAGTGTCTTCAACAGTCGTTATATAAGGCTTTGACTTATCTGTTTGCTCTACAGATACAAGTCCACTGTTCTCTAAGGCTTGTTGCAATATGTCTGCACTTACATTACTGTCTACAACTATTGTTTCAAAAGTATCTTTATTTATATCCTGTAGTTTTGCTTCTTTAGACAGCTCAATTAATTGTTTCACAACGGTGGATACTTCTTTTGGTGGTTCTGTGGCTGAATCACATTGATTTTTAACTGTTTCTATAGTAGGAGCTAATGCCGAGGAATGAGCTCGACTCATGTGGGCATTCAAACTTCCCAGTTTTCGGAAAACGCAAGTACACAGTTCACATTTATGGACTCCGTCGCCCGTTTCCAGAGGAAGCAAAGTATGCACTCGGCGAATATGATTTCTCAAATTGCCTTTTTGGGCAAAAGCTGCTGGGCAAAATTCACAAATAAATGGACGTTCACCAGTATGCTTTACTGAGTGTATTAACAAAGCTCCTTTTTGGTTGAAAGCTCGACTGCATATATCACATTTAAAGGGTCTTTCTCCTGTCAACCAAAATAAAAAATATGTTATAAAATGATGCAATTATTGAATTAAACATTTATAACATGATCATAAATTTGGACTCTACTCAAATATTTCAGTATAAATAAAAAGTTGCAATAATGTTATAAATAAAATTTTACATTTATGTGCATATTGATACACATTACCCATATCTGAAAAGGGAAAATATCTTGTAAATTTTACAAAAAAATATAAATGACAAGACAACTATTGTGCAATAGCTAAACTATTTTAGAGACGTTTTAGAAAGAAAAAAAATCAACACAAAAAATACAACAACTTGAAACTATAAATTTTTTTGTAGAACTAGTATTAGAATTAAAAATTAGCAAATTTATTAAGTTTGAGGGAGTAGGTTTATGTGGTTTATAGAACTGTGCTACATAGATCTTTTACAGTAATACCGTATTATTTTCTTTATAAATTTAAAAATATAGATATGAAAACTTAACTATATATATTTTAGAATCAATAGAATTTAAGAGAGCTTGACATCAATTACTTAAAATGAGGTTTACTTTATATTTAGCAGAAATGCTTATTTAATTAAAGTAAGCAGTAAACTGTGAAAAAAATGTCTATTTGAATAAGGATTCATTATAAATGTTATAATAAAACGTAAGAAATAAAATTTTATATTTCAAAATATGAGGAAAGAGCCAAGTAAAGCAAGTATCAGTTTTTCACATAAAAATATTCAGATTAACAGTCCAGTTCAAAGGTCTCAAAGCTTTTTAGTTTCATCTTAAGATCTGAGGTAAGTCTCAATGCCCAAGTCCCACAAGTAAAGGCATTATTTAGGGATAGAAGGATCATCTCATTCAGCCTCAGAAATTTTTCAAAAGAAAAAAAAAACTAATAATAGTAATTATTCTCTATGACATTGGCAGTATGTTAACTATTTTGATTATCTTTCTTGGCTTCTTCTCTGACATACCGGCAAAATTTAGTTAGCTAGCTACTGAGTTAACTATGAAGTGATAGTACATTATTTATTTTAAGTTTAAAGAACAAATTTACTATTGTTAAATCCTAATTTTGAAAATTCAATTTCATTATGTATGTTGGTTATTGTGTTTCTTTTGATAATTATTTTGTTAAGATTTAAACTTGACATAAATGTTAATATAACTGAAATAAATAGTTATCAGATTAAACACTCTGAATTACTGACCAGATTGCTGGAAAAAAAAGGCGAGATTAGTGATGCTAGCTGTGTCTCATAGTTCAGAGATCTTGGACTGGTCAAATTGATGCAGAATTTTATAAGTTTTAAAGATTTATATTTCTTTTACAACTAAAAAATGTTAATTTTCAAAAAATACCATTTCAGAATTCTAATTTTTTGAATCCAACGATTAGTTTTACAAATAACTTAATAAACTGTAAAATTTTCAGATTTTTTATAAACTAATCCTTTATATTTTCTCTACAAAAATTAAAGATTTAGAAATATCTAGTGTCATCTTAAATTTAAATAATGCTAAAAATGTCATTTTTCTAAAGTTTAAAATTAAAAGCTAAATACATTGTTTTCTTGATCTTTCATAATACAGAAACAAATGAGATTATGTATCAGATGCTAGTAAAATTGAGTTTTGCCTCCAACCAAAATCTTGCAAACAATTTTTCAATATTATCTGATTTTGACAGACAACAGGGTGAAAAATGCAATTTGGATGAATAGCACATATTTTTTTAAGGTTGCATTTGTAATGTTAGTATTTAATTTGTGCATTTGTAATAATAATATTTAATTTTCATTTGATTGATTTGACATACATATTTAACATGAATTTATAAATTTTTTTTCTTTTTTTATGTACCTTCGAAACAGAAAGATTGCTACCAACAGATACTCAATCTAAAATAATGAGCCCATTATTTAGAAAAAATCCTAAAATAATATTAATAAGTAGTAATTCTCTACCTGTGTGAATACGATTGTGCCGAATCAGTTGACTTGGCTTTTGAAATTGCTTTCCACAGAAGTAACACTTATGAGGAAATTTGGACCGGTCATTAATTTTGCGATACTGTCGATGATTTAAGGAAGCTCTAAAAAATGTATAAGATAATGTATATAATAAATTTCATATTTTAAATATGTTTCAATTATTAACATACATTTAACAAGAAAAAGAAATATTTTCTATCTAAATAATGCTAGTTTTTTCAACTTACTTAATTTTATAATGCATCTTCATATGCTCCTTTAGATAGCTTAATTTTTGAAATCCTTTGCAGCAATAGCGGCAAACAAAACTTTTATCCATGACTAACTCTTTCATGTGGTCTTCCATATGCTTGTCCAATTTATACTTGAAAAATAATAATATTGTTCATTCCTTTAATTGAACTTTTTTTATGATGAATAATATGATTAAATAACATATTTCGAATCTAAATGTATTCAAACAAAAACAAAAAACTTTCATTTTACCTATAAATATTTACCTCAATACTACAGTCAAATAAAATATTAACTTAAATATTATTAACTGCTTAATTTTACTCTCAATAAAATAAAAGTTGAAAATAAGAAGCGAAGAAATTTCTGGTAATTTTTAATGTGTTCACTAATTTTTCAAGTTGAAAATTCGTTTCNGTCCATCCAGCCTTTTTCGTGGACATGAAGAAATATACCTATTGAAAAATTACATTTGGGAAGAGTATATCTTAAAATTTAAAAAATGTATTAGAAATTAAGGGTGCGCGTTATGCGCCGGAATATACGGTACTCATTTTTTTAAAAATTAGTTAATAAATAAAGGAAGTATTAACAAATAATAGAAGTATCAACTAAGAAAAGTAAAAAGCATAAAGAAAATAAATTTGATTGCTTAATTTTAAAATTGGACAAATCTAGGCTGTTTAGTTTGAACAATGGTCGAGTCTATGAAGTAAATTTTGAAAAAGTTATATCTCAGATGTTTCTTACTACAATATTCCAAATTGAATAAATATTTCAAACTCTTAAATTCTTTAAATAGCGAAATAAATAAAAGTTATATACCAAGTGAAACATTTCTAATTTCAAGAAGGAAAAGAAATTGAGACCTCTTAAACTATAACTAAAAGAAACTTAAAAACTCAGAGAAGATAAACAAAAATACAATTCTTTTAACTATTCTTATTCCTTGTCTTTCAGAAGTGGATAGTAAAAATTTTCAAATATAATACTTTTCATGATAAAAGCAAAAAGTAATTATTTAATATACGGGCCCATTAAATAAAAGTCCATATTTATGTTTTAAAAGGTTTTAGCTATAGTTATAAAAGAGGTGTTTCAGTATAATATATAGACTACTAGAGCACTTACCATTTACAACTGAATATACTGGAAAACTACTGAGTAAGTACTCAAAAATATTACAGGGAGAAAAAGAATTAAAGTTGTATAGCAATATCTATTAAATAAGAATAAGCAACTCTAGAGATTAATACTATGACAAAATCCCTTTAAAACATACATTTCTCTGTTCCTGGTCTGACTATATTGTAGAAATCTGAGGGCTAGAATTAGTTATTCTGATACACCTTTATTTTTGATGTACAAATTTCTCTTAAAACTTCAAACAACAAAAATAAAGAACTTTAGTTATAATTAGTTTTTTTTCTCTCTAAGATTGTTCTACAACATCACAGTGTTTAGTTGAAAATCACAAAAAGGAATGAATTTTTTTAATGTTAACTTATATTATGAAATGTTAATTTATTCATATTAAAGCACTGAGTATTACAACTTTGTTACTCACTTTTCCTTCCTATCCAAAATTGAAATGTTAATACCACGAATTAACACGTGAGGCTGTAAGCAATCTCATCAAGTAGCGAATGGCCACTTTCATAACTATAGCTATTGAGAAACTTAAGGAGGAATATTAAGAGAGGAATTTATAACCAAGAAACTATGAAAAAATTTAATAAAAGCCCTACTTGTGTTACGAATTCATCTCCACACTCAGTACATAAAAGATTTTCTTCAGTTTCATGCAACATTAAGTGTGATTTTAAGCTTGCAAGTCTGGTAAAACTTCTGTCACATTCAGGACACTTTAAGCCTGTAGTAGAATGAGTTGCATTGTGTAAATGTAAATTTGATAAATTATTAAAAGAAGCATCACACAAATCACAATGGTGAGGTTTATCTTCAGCATGAGTTTTATAATGTCGTTGCAAAAGTTTACGATTTGAGAAGTCTTGTTTACACATGGGACATTTATGAGAACCCTAAAAGTGAAAAAAATAAAACAAATGAGAAATATAAGTCATACTTAGAGCTGGACAAATTAAGTTTAAATTTTTCAAAGCATTTTAAAAAAATGGTTCAACACCTAACTTTAAATGTACTAATTTAGAGCAAATAGTTTAAATTGCGATCAAAAGCAGACACAAAATATATAGTTTATTTAAAGTAAAAACTCCCCATGCCATTTGTCTGGACCAGTGACGATGATTATGGTAACGAGGTATAACTATTTCAGGTAGGGGTGTGGGGTCATTGTTTAGAACAGGGTTTGGGTTGGATCGGCGAGAGAAAGGGAATCTTTTTCTTCGGGTCTATTGTGTTAGCCCTAGACTGAAGAGAAGCTACCCTTCCTGAAATGTGCTACTCTTGTGTCCATACTAGCAGGCGGCCTCAGATTTTGTGGCAGGGGAAGTTTTTAGCGTAAGAATACTATACTTTTTCTTAAGAAACATACCTTTTTGTCTCTCAAAGCATAATGCATAAGAGCAATCTGGAAAATAGGGTGCCAATAGTTTAGGCAGGAGAACAGTCAAAAGTGTGGGCCAATTAATGTTTATTTTATTTTTTACTTATTTTACAATACATCAAGAGCTAATGAAGTAAATCATTAAATTTCTGTACACAGTCACAAAACTTGCTTATTCAAAGAGAATTTAATAATAAAAAGTAATTTTTAATAATTATTTATTATTTTATTATACATTGATCACTGAAAAAATGTGGTAAAAATGCAAGGTGTGTTAAAAATGCAAATTTTCAGACCAATTTAATCTAGGTAATTTAAATGTCATAATTCAAAATCTGAAGGAAATCTGCTAAATAGTTCTTTTGAAAGAAAATTTTACAAATATGACTTTGTCGTCTTGCTGAAAAGCACAAATAGCTTAATATCAAAGAGCCTTAATGTCAATTAATGAAATTTAAATAATGAAATTCGATTAATTAACATTAATCAAATTTTGGTCATTGTAGAACAATTTTGTTTTACCTTTTTATCAGGAGGTTGAATTTCATCATCATCCACAACATCATTAATACTCTTTTCAGTTTCCAATGGCGTCTCTTCTCTGGGTTCATCTGCGTTTTCTAAAAGAGTGGTAGCTTCTGAAGTAGATTGGGCTGTTAACTGAAAAAGATTTGTTCCATCATATAAAGGTATAGTTTGTTCTGAAAGCATGGCTAGCTGTGAAGCATCAACAAGAATAGTATTGCCGTCAACACTAGTTGCAAGAATATAACTTTGTTGTGAATCTATTCCAGACACAGAGCCATCCTGCAAAACAGGGATATTGATTAATTGAGCAGAAGAAAAATCCAAAGTTCCATTTCCATTCGATAATACTGGCAAGTTTTCCATTCTTATCACAGACATATTGTCTTGAAGATTTGCTAAGTCAGAAACTTTTACACTTTCGCTGGCAACACTCATTTTCAGTTAAAAGTCCTGCAAATAAAAATAAAAATATATTAAAATATTTTAAGATGGAACTGAACATGAATGCAATATATCTAAAAAAACTAAGGTTGTAACATATGAAGTAGTGCATGGACTACCTATGGCCCGTAGGTCATAAGTTGTCCAAAAAGCCTTTTAAGCTAACCCCTGAACTGTCTTAAATATTTATTTTAAAAAAAAAAAAAGTTTCAGAAACATTTTTTAGCCAAGTTTTTTCACTAAGTCACTGATCTAGTTCGTTGTTGTATATTTTGTTATGAAAGTTCTTTTTATGCAATGGCTTCAATGTTTGCAGTAAAATGAAACTACTTAGGAATTTGAGCAAATAAACTGAAAGAGGAACAAAATAAAATTTCAGAAGGTGCCAAGAAAAATAAAGTAGTAAATCTATATAATTTGATTTTCTAAATCACATTAATTTTACAATCTGTAAAGCAATCAAATAAATTTGCGATTCTATTTCTAATGCTATTGATAATTTTAGGTTTTCTTTTTATTCTTAATAAATACCTAAGTGCTCATTAATGCATTTTAATATATTTTTTATTTGAAAATACATTGACATATATTGCAATGCACAGTAAGTTTAGTAATATGTGAAATGATTTATAAAACATAAAATTCTGTAAAAAACAAAACCTCGTGCTTCAAGGTTTGAGTTATAAAGATTTTAAACTGTAAATAAATAAATAATAATTTAGAAGTTCCAACAGCAATCATCAGATTTAACCAATTTTACTTTAGTAAAAAATTTTGTTTCTTGAATAATAGTGGAATGCTAATTTTAGAATAAATATGTGTTGTTAAACTACTTTTATTTTTTGTATACCTATACAATTAACATTGTTTGCTTTGTAATCTAACAAGTATTTTTTTTTTCAAATTTCTTAACACTAATTATTTTTTATCTGTATTGGAATAAAAGATTAATGAAATATTTATAACTCATTTACATTACTTTGAAACATACTCTAATTACTCCCTGCATTTCTATAATTATAGCATTATTTTAATGCTGGCCCTCAACACTGTATTGTGTGCTTTTTGTGCCTACCTAAAACATGTTATGCATTTCTGCTATAATCACCATGGAAAAGGTCATGTATCTTTAACCAGGGTCTTTTGTTAAGCTTTATAAAAAACCAGGGTCTTTTGTTAAGCTTTATAAAACTGCCGCCACACACTCCCCTCCAGTGAATGAGAAACACTTGTCAGTTGAGAGCATTTATGTGATTAAGAGACTGTGTATTTGTAAATGATTCGCAATTTCAGTGCAATGAGGACTTTAACAGTATTTGATACCCAGGCTATTAGTTTGTCATGTCAAAGTGAGCTATAGTTTGTCTAAAGTAAGAACTCCCCCAGACATTCGGCTGGACCCGTGGCAGTGACTATGGTAACAAGGTATAACTATTTCAAGTAGGGGTGTGGGAACATTATTTAGGACAGGTTTTGGCTCGAATGAGCGAGAGAAAGGGATTTTTTTCTTCGTATTGCCCTAGAGCAGGGGTGGCGAACCTTTATACATCAATGTGCCATTTTTCTAAAAGAAATTTTTAATGAGGTCATAGACGTGCCGTCAAATAATTTTGACTTCACGATTATAGGGAAAATAATAATACTAAACACTATCAACTCAAAACTCTTTATTTACGTTGAAATAAAATACATTTTGCAATGTCTCAGTTATACGAATAATTCAACTTAAAGTAACATCAGTGTGACTTCTGTTGTTGCAGATTAGATGACAAATAACTTATATTAGGTAGTAAGATGTTAGTTTAAGCAGGACTCTTAAATTATTTTGGCTAGTTATTTATTGTTAGCTTGTTTTTTATGGTTATTAATTGTTTTTTTAGCATTAAGTGTTAATTTTTTGTATTAATAATTGTTTATTATTTTGTTTGTTTTTCGTGAATTTTAATTTAATTGTTACATATGCTTCGATTGTGATAGGTGGCATGCCCAAAATATTGTGTCGAGTGCCATTGGTTCGCCATCCCTGCCCTAGAGTGAAGAGAAGCTAACCTCTCCAAAATGCGCTATTCTTGTTTCCATTGCGGCAGACGGCCTCTGACTTTGTGGCAGGGGGAGTTCTTACCGTAAACAAACTATATTGAATATTAAAAAATTAGTTTATTGTTGCCATCTGCTTAGGAGAAAGACAGCTGAATGCTTGTTATATTGATTTGGCAGATGGTGTGAGTCTATTTTTGGGTCATCTGGGATTGAACTTAAAGCACAAAAAACTTAAATTTAAAAAAAATAAATAAAATGTAGGGGCTGGCTCTTAAGCTACCCTTCAAATTTATCCCTTTCGATGTTTTTTTTTTAGCTTCTCATGTGCAGATGCCCACAAAAATTTGGTCACAGTAAGCCTTTAGGTGCAGAAACTAATATGGAATTTTTTTCCAGTAATGTAATAAAACTAGATCAGAATTACATCACACAGGGAGATTTCTGAATCATGATCTTTGGCCGAATAATCGCCACGTTTTGGAAGCTTCTGAGAAACAAATAAAAAAACATACACAAAATGGGACAAACTAGTAGAATATAACACATAGCCATCCCTGTACAAACTACAGGAATTTTGCATTTTCTTTTCAAATTTACAAGTTTAAAATTCATTTGGCACCTTGGGGATTATAGTTGAAACGATAAATCAGGCTACAAAAATATCACTCATCACACATTTATCTAACACTATAAATACTTTTCCCTTTTGTAAAAAGTAAACACAGTAGAAATATTTTTTTACACAAGTTTTTCTAAATTTAAGTCTTAAAGTCTAAATTTAAGTCTTAAAGTCTAAATTTAAGTCTTAAAGTTTAAATTTAAGTCTTAAATTAAGTCTTCACATGGGAGATATTTCCATCATGTATCACATCAAATACAATCGCCGAAATGCCTAACAAATTTTAAGCTTGAAAATTTTTTTTCAGATTGGTAACCTTCTAAGGTTTTTTTTTCTCTTTTCTTCTTCAGTTTCTCACGGGCCGCTACATGGCACTTACCAAGACTTGGTAGTTATTCTGCCACATGGAAGATTTCCATATTGTGGTTTGCAGAATAATAATCATCAAGTCTTGTCAACTCCCAGGCAGCAGCCTGCAAAAAACTAAAAAAAAAGAATCACAGAAAGGGACCAACTCGAAGGGTATATAACTCTTAGCCACCTTCAAGTAAACTCTCACATATTTTTCTTCAAAAAAAAAAAAAAAACTTAGTTTAAAATCTATTCAGGGCCTATTTATTGAACTTTTTCAGCTGTTAAGTTCCAAAAAAAATTTCACCACTTTCATGATTTAATTACTTAAAAAAAATTTTTCATGGTTCAAAAAAATTCATAGGTTTCTAAAGAAAATCAAAGAGGAAATTTTTTTGTCTCTTCAAATTAATTATTTTATTATTAGTAGTAGGCAGAATCAAAATGTTTTTCTTTCTATGCAATTTTAAATATTATAAATTAAGGTATTCTTTCCATTCATTTGGCACATATGAGAAATCAATGTTCCTATTGAAGTCATTAAAGAAGATTTATATAAGATTATTTTGACAATACATATATGAATGTACTGTCAAAATTAAAAAAATATTACCATGATTTTTATCAAATCAATGAAGAGCTTGTTAGCATACTCAAAAACTTTAAAATAATGTAATTATTTAATTGATTGAACAGAAATTTTTAACTCAGTAAATGGAAGGTTACGTCATTAAAATAATCTGTTTTGTTTAATTTTCTAAAAAATGAAATTATTCTCAAATAAATTAGTTATTTTATTTAGTTATAATACGCAGAATAGCTAAGTGTTGATATTGTAAGATCTTGTGTAATATAGCAATGTTTATTATGTAAAATTCCTAATTTTAAACAGAAATTTGGAAGGTGTCGAAATAAATTTTCAACTTTCCAAAATTTTCCCGATAACATTACGGCACTTGCGACCGCAGAACACTAAACTTTTTTAATAACGACATGCATTGGATGAGGATCATCATGAAAATAAATATCAATCCGCCATGTCGCAAGATTACAAAAAATAAGTACATCATCATACCTGTTATATTATTATAATTAGATACGTAGAAACATTTATAAGTTACATATGCAGGGATACATGAGTAGATATATGATTTTTTAACGAAAAGCTGTAATATTTACACTCAAGTACACATAAACAACAATTTTTATTGTTGAGCTAAGAGTGGATAATGGTAAATGACGTAGCTTTTTTGCGTAACAGGAGAATAAGATCTTTGAAACTTTGTAGTTTTAATCTGTCTTCTTCCAAATATATGCAACTTTAATGTGCGTTTTGAAGGAATTTATCCATTATAAAGCACTTTTAATGCTTATTTATCATGAATTTAGTAATTTAAATTTTTATTAAATTATTTCCATACTTTTGTTAAGGAAAAAGTTGAAATTCTGGAAATTTTCAACTTTTTAGATCTCGTTGAGTCGGTTTTTAACCTTAAATTCTGGATAGAGATAAGCTGTGGAATATACCATCCATTGATTCCGTTGAATCAGTTTATTATTACGACTACTGCACTATCACCTTAGGGCATGTAGCAGATAAAATACAACTCAACTCGTGATATGTAAACAAATTAATTACAATACAAAACAAATCAAGAAAAGTTGAATGACAAGGATGTGCATTGAAAAAAGTTTGAAATGCTCAGCAATCCATATTTATTCTGACAATTATGGTCAGAGAAACTTTAAAAAAAATTATTTGGAGCACTCTGTTTTGAATGAAATTTAAGGAAATGGTGTAACAAATCTATTTTAGCTATGCAAAATGCCTGAATTTTTATTTCAAACTTTTGTGAATCTTTACGGGTATATTAGAGTAAAACATGAATCATTGCTACCCTCATATATTTATTAGCTTAAATGTTTTATTTGTTTCCGTGGCTGGCATTTATTAAAAAAGACTCTTAAAATTTCGTATCTAATTTTGTAAATAGCTGTAACGATCATTTTATGATAAGCTGGTTTCCTTCTAGTTGTTTACATCATTCGACATTTGTTTAATTTGCTCTTTATTATTATTGTAGAATTGGCATGAAAATTCATATGAAATATACTGCTCTAACTAAATTCCTATTAAATCTATACATGAATATGTTGATATTTGATTTGGATAACAAATTGTTAACTCTAAGCTTTTCTGATTCGTATTTCACTAGATAAACAATATGTTAAGCTGACAAACGTAATTTTAAGTATTAATTCTAGTCCTTTGAATCATAATAATGAATGTTTTGACAGATATCTTATGTGATACAGCATCATTGTTGGCCTCTCAAAATTATAAGGTTACTTCAGAAAATAAGTTAATGTCTTCGCAAGAAATGTTTGGAAGGTCAGGACCTTTAAATATTCTGGATTCTACTTCTGAAATGCCTTCTATTGAGAGATCTATGCCACCCATTAATACTCATTCTAGTCCATCTAGTATTGGTTTATTTAATTCAGCAAGTCAAATTCATATTGCTCAGACAATGGATGCCGATTTTGATGATAGAAGTGAATCCATTTTTTCAGATCCATTTGCTGAAATTGTACCATCTTGGCTTACTCATGATTTTATGAAAGTTTCTGATAACTTGCCATCCCCTAGTATCTTGTCAAATGTATCAGATATTTATTCATCGGCACAAGAAGATGAGCATCTTGAAATGCTAGATTTAGGATTTACTTCTGATTTAAGCACTCATGATTTGGCAGGCAATGATTTAAACAGGAACTGCATCGATGATAGTCAAAAACTTCTTGCAGAATTGCCTATGCAGAGATTTTCTGGTCATGAACCTATGTTACTTTCATCATTAAATGATATTAATGTCTCACATTTGCACGTACCAGTAAAAAATAATATAAGTTTTGAAAAATATAAGCATTCTTCTGAAATCAGCAACACATCCAATCTCATGAGCACTGTATTAAATTGTGAAAACGATATAGTTCATCTTCCACTTCATCCAAATATAGCATCCCAGTGCCTTACAACTACATCTAGTCCAACTTTAATGCACAGTAGTCAAAGTCATCATAACTCAGTAACTTCTGTCTGTGATAAGTTGCCTCAAATAAATCTCAATCTTAATTCTCTTATTGGCAATGATATATCAGATATGCAACTATTGCATCAAGAATTTCCTACCGTAAATTTATCCCAAGCAGCATTAAACCATTCAAATCAACATTTGAGCAACTGTATTTCCAATAACATTGCAGTCACCCGAACTAACAACTCATTGATTAATAAGAGTAGTCTAGCTTTGCCTAAATCTAAGGATGCTTCTGTACAAGTTACAGTTGAAAGTACGGTTGAGTCAAGAAATTGTATTTCTTGTTGCAAAGTTGGTTCAGAGGCATCTATTGAGCTAACTCAGTGTTATAAATGCAAATTTTGTGATTTCATAAGCATTCACAAATGCAATGTGCAAAGTCATATAAATGCTGTTCATTCCACACCATTTTCTGTTGCAAATGGGGCCAATTTAGATCTGACATCGAATGTCATTAACCCACCTTTATGTACTACTAATACAACTGAAAGCAGCTATTTGAATTCAAATGGTATTGTCAGTTCAGCTGATATTGTATCACTGAATAGTCATTTAAGTAATTCTTTATTATCATCCCAAAGTACTTATGTACCGAGTGATAATCCAGTCATGTCTAAGTCAAATTTTGTATCTGGTCAAAATGTAAATACTACTCCTGTACAGTTGAGTATTAATGAAAGTGTTCCTGTTAGTTATCAGTTGATTCCCATTAGTGGAGTTGTTATAAGTTCTGGTAAGGATGAAAGTAACAGTGTAGCTGTCAATGGCAATTCTCAGTTTCTATCTGAAAAGTTTAGCAATAATTTGAATTCAAAACATAGACCTATACTGAAAAAACCTGAAGAATTACCTAAAAAGCCTTCTGAGCCTAAGAAAATATCTCCCAAATCAAACAAAGATGAATCTGCTTCTGAAAAGTCAATCTCTGCCCAAAAGAAAGGATGGCAAAAGAAAATTAGAAGAGAATTGGGCTCCTACATGTTAGTATTTTCTATTTTTCACACAATGTTTCTTTTTCCTTTTAAGTTTAAGTATAATAAAAAAAATTAGCTTTTTCATAAAAATGGGAACGAAATGTACTTACTATTTACTATATATATATACATTCCAAGGTTTTAAATTAAATAATGAATAGCATAAATCAAAAACAAAATATAATGATCATACAAGTAAAACTAGATTACATTCCTTCAATATAATATCTAATAAAGTTAAGTACCTTTATTCGAGGTGTTAATCAGGAACCTGAAGTTGCTCTATTTGTTGGGGAACTTAGCTTCATAGTTTTTAAAACATCATTAGACCTTCTTTATTTATTTATTTAAAATAATAAAGTATATTTATTTAAAATAATAAAATTCAGTGATTGGTATAAAGGAATGTATAGAGTTAGCTGTCATTTTTATCTTGATTGCTGTAAATAAATTAAATAATATGAATAATTAATAATTTTTTTTTATTTATTTAAAATCTTCCTTATCTTATACCTTTTTTTTCAGATGTGAATTTAAAGGTTGTAATGTGCGATTCAAAGCTCTTGATAATTTGGAATATCATCGAAAATGTCATGTATCAGGAGGTAATTCCTTTGCCTGCCCAGAGTGTGGCATAGCTTTCAATCAGTGGAGCTCTATTGCTGGTCATTTATGGAGAAATCATTCCAACGATATGGAATTGCATGCTTGTGATGTGTGTTCATTCAGGTCTGTATTATTATTATTATTTTTTATTTTTTTGCTTTAAATTTACCCATTTTTGCACTTTTCTTATGTCATTTGTTTAACCAATTGTAATGCACTTTGTGATAATAAAACTTTTTTTTTCCATGTGTGTGTATATATATTGTTTGGACGTTGATATTTTTAACTTATAGGGAGAAAGAAGAAATTAAAAAATCATAAATTAGAATTAATTGGTATCTTAAAAAAAAACTTTCTTCGTGTATTTTAAAAGTGTGATATTTTTTATGAAAATAAGTTTGGTTCGCTAAAAAAGATTTTGTTCTATTTTTTCTTCTGCAGAGAATAGTTTGATATTTTATGATGTATTTTCTGAGAAGACAATAGCTTTATTTGTAACCTCTGACATATTTGGCCAATTTTAAAGTTTTTCCACATTAAAAAGTGTGATTTACTTTGCAATACTTGCTAGCAAAAACTTTAATTCTCCTTTTGATTGGCAAGGAGAAATTTTATTTTCATTGTGTTGTCTGCAAGAAACTGTGAAAGAAATTGTAAAAAAAAAAAAATACTTTTTTAAAATTGAATTGATAGAAAAGTTATCTATTTAATTATTTGCCAGCTTTTTATACTTATTTTAAAATTTGTTTTTATTTTTCAGGACTTACAGCTTAAGTAGATTAGAGAATTATCACAAGAAAACTCACCTTGATGAATGTCTATTTTTATGCGACACTTGTGGCAAAAAATTCAAAAATAGAAAGCAGCTGCGGAATCATAGGGTGTGTACATTTTTTTCAAACTAACCAAAAGTATTTTGTTATTCAAAAATATTGCCCCTGAATATGTGAATGTCCTCATTGATAAATTTTTGTTATTTGTGTTTTTGTATGTATGTATTTCTGCATGTATGTATATATTTTTGTATGTATGTATTTTTGTTTGTTATGTATTTTTGTAATGTTAGAGTTTGTTTGAAACATGATTTTAAAAAAAAAATTACTTTGAATTTCCAAAAATAGACAGATTTAGATAAAATGGAAAACTTCCTGCAAACGCAAAATTTCAAATAAAAAAATTTCTGCAAGCAATTTATTGCAGAGAATAGTATTCTGCAGAATGATAACTATGCATACCTACCCTTTCATCTCCACTTAATTTTGACAAAATTAGTACAAAAATCACCATTTTTTAAGTGTTTCAATTTCTAAAACTATATTGATCATTATACATATCAACATATATATATATATATTTAATTTAGCTGTTTTTTAATAATGTGAAACTAGTCACTGACTTCACTCATTTTACCTTATAATTGGTTTGTTTTCTTAGTAAATCTAAAATCTAAGTCGTTCAAAAACATTTCCATGAAAACATTTAATAAATATTTTTATAAAAACCACCACTGTCTCTTCAATTCTCAATGCCTGAAAGTCAAATACAATTTAGACTTTTCTTTTTTAAAATATATAGAGAGTAATGCTATAGAGTTTTCCGTGATAATGACAATATTTTCGTGAATGATGTTCAGGCCTTAGTGTATATTATGCATATCTGGTATTAATTAGGAATAGAAGAAAACTTCAAGTGCATTTTTTACTTTTGCATTCTTTGGTGTTTATCTAAATTGTTATTTACTATTTTACAGGTTACTCATAATAAAAATAAGAAAAAAGCTATGACTCAAAAGATTTTTAAGTGCAAAATCTGTCTGAGCAGTTTTTCTTCGAAAAGCCTACTTCTTTCTCATCAGGATCTTGTCCATAATCTGAAGCGCAAGAATTTCCAGTGTAGCTATTGTGAGTTCTCAACATTTAAAAAGGCCAATATGGATATGCATGTCAGGCAACATACTGGTGAAAAGCCTTTTCAATGTGATAAATGTGAATACAAAACATCCGATCACAATTCTCTCAGGCGTCACAAAATGATTCATTCTGGAGAAAAATGTTATAAGTGTCCTTTTTGTGCCTATTCGTCTATACAGGTAAGTTGTATATTACTCTTATTTATCGTTTGTTATATATTTATTGTATGTTCTATAGTAGGTTTTCAGTAATATTAATTGACAAAAATTTTGATATGACATAATGAATGAAATTTGTCAGAAAATAATTACTCAGTGTCTCTTGTTTGCTTATCTTTAGCACGGTTCAACAAATGACTGTTATAGCTGTCCGATTTTTGGCAATATATAAGCCAATGGTTGTTGTAGTCTGCACAATTTTTATTAATGAAAAAGGAAATTTAATTAGTACAAATTGCATTTATTTGTTAATTCAGTAATATATCCAAAAAAAATGATTTGGCCTTTTGTCACTTACTTTGGAATGAGATAAAATTTCTTAAAGAGCAAATAACAGTTGCAGCCGTTGAGAGTTTTTCATGGAAAACTGTTACAAAATGTGATAATTCTTACTTTCAAGCATACAGCTGACTCTCAATTTCATATGACATTTATAAACAAGAAAAAATTGTGGAGTATTGTTGTCAGATTAAAAGTATGTTTCAATGTGCTAATAATGCAAGTTTATTTTGGACAGAATAAAAGTTAAAAATCATGCAATGAAATTATTAATGTAGTCCTTTAAATAAAGCAAATTTTCTCATATTTATCTTTATCTTCAAATATTACAAGGTTCCCATTCAATTTCAGAAAAAAAATTCACTGACTTTTCCAGGTATACCAAGAAATTTTCAATGAAAATTCAGATCGTTTATATATACCATGCAATTTTTTATCAGAAAAGTTTGATTTTTCATTTACTATGTCAAATATTAATTTTGCAAGAAAAAAATAATCGAATAAGGATGAAAGTGCCACTAAAATGTGAAATTTTTAAACAAATATTTGTAATAGATGCTATAATTATTTAATTATCTCATAACTGATTAGTGTTAATGGAGATTCTAAGACTGGTTATTTTCGTGGTTTTCATAAAACATTGCAATTCTCCCTGCTTTTTAGAGTCAAAATAAAATTCCCTGACAATTTCAAGTTTTTCCTGATCCATGGGAGCCTTGTATTATCATTGCTTGATGGATAGTTATTGATACTTTTATAAGTCAGATTGCACTAAACAATGATTTTTATCTTCTTTAGGCTAGTACTTACAAAGATCATTTAAAACGAAAACATCCAGGACAAGATTTGATTTATTCTTGTAAGCTGTGCCCTTTCCAAACAGTGAAGTCTGAAACATTCAATAAACATGTGGAAGAACATGAAAGCATCAGCAAACACAAACATCTCCACCAAATGAACGAATTTACTTCATCTGAGGAAATGTTACCTCTCGTTGAGGCTATGGGAATACGACTTACTAATGGTGATAGTCTAACTTATTTAAATAACAGTGGAACCAACCAGTCATTTGTAAATAATATTAATATGAATATGTTACATTTATGCCAAGGGAATTCTGTTTAAAGTGTTCTGCTGGAGAAAAAAAAATTGTTTTTACTTTTTGGAATTTGTGAATGACTTTTTTGAATCGAACAAAGGTTTTAACAATATTTTATTTAAATAAAAAGAAAATGTAATGATTTGTTTGTTTGAATTTTATTTTCATTTTCAGGGATGAGAGTAGTTGGAAAGTAAAAAAGAGGAAATTCATGAATGAATATATATATAACACAATAAAAAGAAAACGAAAGTAAGTTAATAGTAGATTATATATATATAAATTTGACAAAAAAGTGCAATTTTTAAACTTGTAAACCATGTGATTATAAATCCGATGATTAATTTTAAAATTACATGAATATATAAATATGAATCACATGCATGATTTTAAATTAAGTGAATATGAATCCCGAAATGAGGCTTTTAAATCACGTGAATACGAAACTCTATATCGAATTTAAAAAATGCGAAAATACAAATCATGATGCGTAATTTTTAGATCACGTAAATACGAATCATGATGCATAATTTTTAAATAGCGCGAATACGAATCCCACTGTCTAATTTTTAAAGCACGTATAAATAGGAAAATCGACGTTTGATATTACAACCGCAAAAACGAATCACGACATTGGATTTTAAGCTCGAGTGAATACGAATTGCTACATAGGGTTTTAAAAGTGCGTAGTTACAAATCACGATATTGGATTTTTAAATCTCGTAAATAAGAATCGCAATGTACGACATTTAAATCGCCTGATTAAGAATTGCAACGTTCAACTTTTAAATCAGGTAAATACGAAAATCAATGTTTGAGGGAGGAATGAGGACTACAATACTTTCACTTCGCGGAAAATTTAATCCTCATAAAATATTTTAACTTGTGCAAAAAAAATTTTAGCGGAAAAATCTGAAAAAAAGCGGAAATTCGCAGAAGAATCACATCCCTGCATTTTTCTCTTTATTATTAAGATTATTAAAATCCCTACAACAGGAAATACTTAAAACTGTGGTGTTTCATAATCTAGGTCTCTGCAGGGCAAATGATAGCCTATCTTAATGTAAATCTATTTTTAAAAATACAATCATTAGTGAATGTAAAAAATGGTTTTAAATTAGTGAGAGTTGCTTATTTCTGGTAGATTCTTGTAGAAAAAGTTAAGATAAAATTCTATTCCCAGGATTAATGCCCTTACTTAAATATAAACAAAATTTGATTGGACTATTAGATTTTGTTTGAATGCTTTAAGAAAATTTACTTTTTGTTAACTATTTGCCATTATCACACTTCAAAAAATAAGTTAATACTTGTTTATGACAAATCCCAAACTAGGCACTGTAGAGAATGGGTAATCCACAAAGTAACTTTTACCATAGGTTTGTATTCGAGCATTGGTAATAATAATACAGTCGAACTCGTTTATAACGAGCACAAAGGGACCGTAACATGTACTCGTTAAATCCGAGTGCTCGTAATAAACGGGTCCTTAAGGCAGGCGTGCAACCAGAAGAGAGAGGTCAAATGATTAAGTTTACTTAAAATTTAATTAATACTTACTTACTTTAATTACATTAATTTAATTAAATACTTTTCTTAATTTAATGGCAACTAACCCCCTTNTTACGAAATAGCTCAGCCATTTATGATAGCATTTCCAAGTTCCTATATGGTTGAAGCCGGTTTCAGTCACGTAAATTCAATCTTAACTAAGAACAGAAATAAATTAAATGTGGAGTTTCGAGGGGATTTAAGATCAAAATTGACCAATTTTTAACCCAATATAACGAACCTTGCAAATTAAGAAAAAATAAAAAATAAAAACACCAGTCATTGATTAAGTAGCAATAAATCCGTAGCTACTTTACTTATTACTTCTACTTACTTATAATTACTTATTATTTCATAAATATTAAGGTATTTATATTTCAACATTAATATATTTTTGATAAAACTATTGTTATAACCACACTATTATAACTACACAACTATTATAACTACACTATGTACTACTACTTTAATAAATGCTCAAAATCATAAAATAAATGCACAACCACAGTATCTAATAGAGTTTTATTTTAATTAGCAGAAAATTACTTTTATGGGGGTGGATGGAAATTTCGAGAAATTATGTAGGGGTCGATGATCAAAAAAGTTTGACAACCCCTGCTTTAGACAAACTATAAACGCATCCTTTAAGTTTTGCTAGAGAGGGCAAGATGGATCGTCTTTAAGTATTGTATTATCTTTAACCCCTTAACGATCGGTTAATTTTCCAGAAAACGTTCATAAAAGTGCCTATTTTTTTGGCTTTTGTATTTGTATTACATATTTGATTAGTTCTGAAATCTAGTTTAAAATAAACTAACTATCTACAATTACCTTAAAAAATATCCTGGTACCGCTATCTGGTGTGTAAAATGAGAAATAAAATGTTTTCCGGGCAAAAGAAATGAAGTAGTTTTATTCTTATTGGTGCGTTGCTACTGAACACTCCCGCCCGTTAATATCACGGGAGCGAGAAATAGCGGGCGAAAACTCACCCCGTCATTTTCACGGGAGCGAGAAGGAAGGGGTTAAGGAGTCTATCAAGAACGATGATGATATTTGTAACATGAAAGAATAACATGCACTTTGTTATTTTTTTTTAAATTATTATTTCGAAAATTTCGACAATAGAACTGTCTTAACTGAAGATATTTCACTTACCTGTAAATCAATGTCCAAATCCATCAATGATCAATACTCGAATCATCCAATAGGAGTAATGCAAACCACTGGCTGCCATTTAACCACAAAATTACGGTAATTGATTGATTGATTCCACTCAAGTGAATAGTTCAGCCCCTTGCTCGGACTTTTTCATTAGGAATGTTTTTTTGAAAATGATCTATTTTGCTTGAGCGTTGTTTCTTAAATTCAGAGATTCTCAAACTGTAAGAAATCAGATCATTTAGTGAACTTATTAATTTTGTTCCCAAAAAGTAATTATTCATTATTATTAGAAAAATAATTATAAAACTCAATGAGCAAGTAAAATGACTGTTCAGGTTTTTATAGGGTCCTTCTTAGAAAACTTTTTCTTAGGCTGCACGACCCCCAAAACATCATAATGATTTTTCTTCTCTGCTGATTCCCTTTACCCCTTATTTTCTTTCAAACTCTAAATTTAATTGTTTCAGTTATTAAAAATAAACTGTAAATAATATTTAATTACAGAAATAAGTTAATAAAAATGTCAGTAGATTGGAATAGTGGCAACTACGTTTATAATTCAGTGTCGCTGCCATATTTTCGTTTTATTTAGTGAGAGTTTATCAAGAATGGTGATCATATTTATAGCAAGAGGGAATGAAATACTCTAAAATTAAGTTTTTTTTGCTTCATTGCAAAAACAATCAAATAAAGATGCGTTTACGTGTATTTATGTTATTGTTTCGAAATTAATTTCCTATTGTGCGTTTATGTAAAAACATAGAATTTTCTAATCAATTTTAAATCTTTTACTTTAGATTTTAGTTTTCTTACTTGCAAAAAGTATTTTAGTCATATTCTTATACAGAAAAGTAAAATAAAAAAATCTACTTTAATAATGCTTTCTGGAATTTATTCTTTAGTTTTAAAAGAGTAATGGTGCATGTCATTCTCATAAATACGTATTTAGTTAAATATAGAAATAAAATTAAATACGAAAAATTGTAAGAAATTAAAATATTTAAGAAAAATCTTAATTATATTTATACTTTTGCACGTATGCTTTTGTTTGTATGTACTTGTAATTATATGTATACCTTAAGCATTATATGTGTACCTCAAAGTACTAACATCTTTGCATTTCATAGAATTAAAATAAGACAAATAACCAAACAATTACAAAGAACATCTTAAACTCAAAAAATAATAAAAGAAAATAATAAACTCATCAATTTTAACTAGTAGTTTAGTAGTTCGGCTTTTTACCGTAGTGTGGAGCTAAAAGCATTATGTACCAGCGTGTTGCTATTTTAGGGGAGCCGTAAAAAATCCCTAAGCTATTATTGACGTTAATTATTAATCAATTTTGATAATAGATAATAACGGTTATGTAGTAACATGTGCGGTTTTAATAGTTACCAAATAAACAACCTAATATAGGTACTGCGATTATAGGCTTCTTAGGACCTCCTGAAAAGGATAAGTACCAGAAAATTTCTTAATAAAATGGCTGACTATCATGAATCGACCTAGAGCTACAGCATTGTTATATGAACACAGTTATTCTTTATTTTGATGGGTTGAACTACTTTGTTTTGATGAATCTCATAACGTAAAGCGACCGATGGAAAAGGTTGAAGAATAATAATAAGCATAAAAAGAAAAATTGGAATTGTTTTATCTTTAGTAATTGTGTCGGTATATGTCTTTCAATTTTGTGCATGATTTCTTATCAATATCGATTTATTGATTATTTACTTTTTTTCACCCCGAACGAAGAACGGGTATTCAGCTAGTTCATTGCAAAAAATGAATTGATTATTTTGATTAATGAATATGTGAGAGGTTTTAAATAAATTACCTATGAAGTGAATTTTGATTTAAATCTCAAACTTTCTAATTACTAAATTTTGAAACATTAAATTAAAAATTTAATCACATTTTAGAAGTTATTAATGTAAACTGATTGGTTTAACAAACAAAACAAAACAAAAAACTCAAAATTCGAATGAAACACATTTTCAGAAAATAAGTTTTAATGAATGATGCGTATGCCTTTCAGGTTATCTGAAACTTTAACGAACTTTAATTTGGACTTCAGAATAACGAAAAGCTTCTAAAAACCGCAGGAAAGTTTCAATGACTGGCATATTAACTAATACATTTTTTACAATTACTTAAGAGTTCGTTAAATAAATCAGAACTCAATTTTTAAACATAAAACAATGTGATTTTCAAAAGTACAATACACATCTCCATTATTACAATGGGATACCTGCAAGTGACGTAGAGTGGGTATCTCGATCCTGATTGGTTGTTGAAACGTAGCATTTGTTTACATTAGCAACTGCTTACATTAGCAACCGGAGTTGCCAGGTACACGAAACAAAAATAGATCACGGTTACAATAAAGTTCAAAAACAAATAATAAATCTAAGTTAAGTAAAAGATGCTGATGAGATTGAATTATATTTCAACAAATTCGAAGTTCGATACGGCACCGTATTTAATTAACTTACAGTTAATTAACATTCTAACATACGGAAAGAAACTTAGCTCAACTTTAATACTCCTTTTTGCTCATAAGCGGTCAGCTGCCGCTGACTCCATTGGTCACTTGTGTGGGTATTCGTGATCTTCTTCGTCTTGAAGTGCAAGGAACAAATATCTTTCTTTCAAGAAGTTATTTAGCAAGAATGTGCAAAAATTTTATACATACAGTCGAACTCGTTTATAACGAGCACAAAGGGACCGTAACATTGTACTCGTTAAATCCGAGTGCTCGTAATAAACGGATCCTTAAGGCAGGCGTGCAACCAGAAGAGGGAGGGGGGCTTGGGAGGTCAAATGATTGAGTTTACTTAAAATTTAATTGATATTTACTTACTTTAATTACATTAATTAATTTAATTGGGTATACTATAGCCTACGTCACAGGTTGTGTTATTCCTACTAAATTTAACCCATGAACGGCATTTTCTGCGAGCCTAACTTCAAGCCACAAATAAACAAACGAAGTGTTTGATCGTTTAAATAGCTGCTCGCCAGATTTTATTGCATTATAAAGAAAAGTAATTGATATTCGATTTTTGATTAATAATTGATTTATGTGGATAGTGGCATTTATGTGGATAGTGGCATAGAATTTAGCATTGCGTCATGGTAAATGTTATTCCTACTAAGTGGAAGTAGTTGTGTTTTTTTTNAAAATAAATATTTAAAACACGTATTTATGCTCATCTATGCATTTCCTTTTTTTTTACTTAGATTTCAGCAAAAAAGAATCTTTTTAAATATATATATATTTTTTTGCTTAAAATTAGTTTCGTTTAATTAAAAAATCATAATGATAAGAAAAAAAGAACAGTAAATATTATAAAACATAAGTATGATCTTTTTCCTGATCAATAATTTCCTGTACTGCTGATTTTTCTTTCCCCATCAAAACACCAATGTGGGATAAATTAATGTACATTAATCTTCAAAATATAAGCATATAAAATAGATTTCAGTAAAAAAGATATATATATATATATAGTATATATATTTCTGTTGTTTAAAATTAGTTTCGTTTAGTTAAAAAATCATAATAAGAAAATCTGCTTTTTAAATACTAATTAAGAAATCAGCTTACAACTAGTATCTTAAAATAATAATTATTAGAAATGCTCTAAAAAATCGCGTTCTTTTCCATTACGATTCTTGGTTTAAAAAAAATATCGGCGCTTTGCTTTCTTAAACGCCAATACTGGCCACTTTCTCTCCCTTTTTTGCTACCTCATCCCCCAACTGACTTAAAAAGTAACCCAGTTTCCATGAAAACGGCTGTAATCCGGTCTACCTACCTTTCTCTCCAGTGCCAACTTAAGGTGGAATGGACTATAGCGCCTAAGTAAGATCTGTACATTTTTCAATTTATTGAGTTAGTATTGACATTTTATAAAATTATTCCCAGAAACTAAGATAATTTTCAAGGGTATATTTTTAAATTTCAATATTCTGCTTGAACATAATTAAATTATTTATTTTTATTTTGACTAAATAATTACATAAATACAAAAATAAATTTAAAGAGTTTAATATTTCTGTGAATTGCATAACTTGGATCTACATATATTGAGTAGAAAGGCATTAAAAAAACTGTGAAATATTCGCTTGTAAATAAAATAATATGTAAGGTTCAGTTGGAAATAGTGTCATTTGAACAGAAATTGAAGATCGTGTTCAATATAAATTTCTTATAAAGAAACTAAACAAAAAAGAAATATTCAAGTAATCTAAATTAAATATATAAATAGCAAACCTTATATAAAAAAAAAATTTCTTTAAAATTTAAGACTTTTTGGAAACTGAGCAATGCGAAGTGTGTACAAAAAGGCTGAAAATAACAAACAAATTAGTAAATTGTGAGCCCATGAAAACATATTTTGAATACTATTAAATTATTATAAACTAAACTGATTTCAATATCAAAATAATTTATTATCTTAAATAAGACAATCTGTATATATCATAAGATTTCCAAAACAGTTTCAATAAAATGCTATAACAAATAAAATATAGGAGTAAAGTCGTTTTAGCAATGCTAAAAACTGTCAAATAACATTGATAAAAATATGGCAACTCTTCATTTAAAATACCACAAGACATAAATTGATTGAACAATTTCTAAAACATTTTAAAATTTGTATGAATCCACACAGATCATAGAAACATTAATTAGCTAAATAGATTTCAACAATTGCTTAGTGATAGGAACAATATTCATAGATAAATAAAACTGTGAATAGTTTGAACAATTTGTATATTTCGTTCAAAAGAAATCGTCAGTACAATAAATCATTAGAAGCTCAAAAGATATACAACATCTTAATAATTCAAGGTGCAGCAGCATCTTCTCGGACGTCACGTTCAAATTGATCTTTAACATTTTTCAAGAACTCTTGATCGCATAAAACCTTCAACCCTACCATGGCCATCGATTTGGAAGTTATTAAAGTTGCCAGTTGTGCTTCTTTGGTGCCAGATGCTTGTGTAAAAGCCTTGGAATGATTTGCTGCATTTGTTCCAATAGAATAACATGGGTGGATACTTGGTACTGTATGTGATACATTTCCCATATCTGATGATGCCATGAATGGTATTACTTTCGGATTGCCATCATCAAACTTAACACCTAAATAAATAGATTTAATAAGATAAATGAAAAATCTTTCATTACAAACAATTTCAGAAATGATATAAAATCTAGTTTCTCATTTTTCTTTTAAATTAAATTAACATCCAGTTAGTAAGAGAAATAAATAACAGTAAGCAAAATCTGTTTAATATAATGATTACCAAGTTAACGTTTGATGTAATGATTGGCTGGAAAGGAACATTTTTGATATGTCAAGTAGTTCTAACTATTAAAATGTCTAGAAGTCCTTGGAAAGGTTAACTGGACAGTTTATAAAGTAAAAAGTGCTAACATTTTTTGTAAATCAGTACATTTATTCCACAATTAAAATTGCTATTGCCAATAAGAATAAGTTAACACATAGATTAGTGTTCAAAGCAAATGAAAAATTAAGTTTTAAAGGAAAAATTTACACCAGGAAATGAAGTAACGGAGAACCATTCCAGTCTTCTTTTTTCCCCCATTCCTGTAACAGAATTTCAATCTACAGATCTAAATTATAATCTTTATACTAGAGATAAAAAGTAAGAGTGAAAATTTCAGCCTAATAATGTAAATAGAAGTTTATTCATATATTAAGCTTATTTTTAAACTTTTATATACTGTATTTTTCTAAATACATATTTTTAATAATGATATATAATAATTACCAAATCCTTCAGCATATTCTTTATATATTTCAGCAAGTAGTTTATTTGTCATCAAACTTTGATAGTTTTCTTCATCAAAGTATTTAATTTCTTCTTGACATCCTGTAGCATATGCTGCACTTTTAATACAGGCTTCAATTCTCTTTTTCAAACTCTGCATGTCAAATGTTGTAGCAGCTCGAATATACAATATCATTTCAGTCAAACCAGGTATGATATTTGCTGCGTCACCTCCTTTAGTAATGATGCCTAAAACATTAATTTAATAAGAAAATATAACACATGCAATACATTTATGGAAGAACAACAATTTGAAAAACCCAATCTATTCCAAGCTTTATCAACTCTACTATTTTATTCTCATTAACTTATTTTAATTTCTTTTTTATTTAAATATATCAGAGGGAAAAAAATATTTTTTTGCTTTTAAAATTTTGAAAATTTAAAATAAGTTTAAAGATTGATATATTGAAAGGCATTTTTAATGTTCAGTAATCTTCATAAAAAGAAAAACGAAAGGGTACGAAAACTTCTTCAAAGAGAGAGAATGCTAAATTTTAAAAAAATATTTAAAGAAATTTTTGAGCAGAAGAAACATTTAAATAAATTTTGTAGCATTAACTAAACTGTTAGTAATTTCACGAAATATTTGTAAATTATATTGTTAGGAAAAGTTTTATTAAAGAAAGATAAATCAATAGTATTAATTGCTGTGCTTTTGAACACAATGATCAAAACAAGGATGGCAAGTTCAATAAATAACAAAAAAAACTGCCATAAAAGAGGTTACTTCCTGCACCAAATAGAGGAAAAACTTTTTCCAAAAGAAATATCAAAAATGAAAGCAATTTTTTAAAAATTTTATAATTACAGTGACTATTAAATTTACATTTTACAGTACGTTTTATATTTATAATTAACAATATATTTTATATTTATAATCATAGTGCCTATTAAATTTCCAAACTTTTTGATACATCATTCATAAAAAATAAAAAGCAATAATTTAAAAAAAAATTTACAATTTTAATAAAAAATATTTTTTACAAATGTAGTCCATTAATAACAGTAGTTATTATTAGTTCAAGGTACAAACATCGAAATCGTTGACTTTCATTTGCCATTAAAAGTGGCCACATAATTTATTTTAACTAGTTTAAATACTTAATTTTATTAAAAATTATGATGTTCTCAAGGTTAAATAAGCGCATTATTTATTAAATAGTAACTAAATTAAAAACTATATTTAAATTTTTATTTGCAGTTATTTGTATGCAAAAATATTTTTTTATACTGGAAAAAATAGGCTTTTTAAATACTATGTTATTTATTTTCAGTAAAAGTAAATGTCAATATAACACAAACTAGTTTATAATAACCATTTGAGAATTTAAAGTTCAATTCTAATTATCGTTTTATTTTAATGCTGTTTATGTTTTTATTGAAGATAAAAGACAAAATATTTTTACATTTTAATATCCTTGGTGATAGGACATTTTAATATCGATGGGGCTAGGACATTTTAATATCCTTGTCAGTAAAATTTACTATATTTTAAAAATCATATCAAACATCAAGTAACCTTGCTGATATATTTCGCCATAGCTGAGTCATTTGCTTGAAAGACAAACTTTTAAAATATAGATATTCAAAAACAAAAATCTTAAATTATGTTAGACTTTCTCTGCAAGTCAAGTAATACTGGATGGTACAATTAAAAATACCAGTGAAAGACAATTTCTCAAAATAAGAAGCATTGATTGTAGCTTCAAAGTTAAATATTACATAAATTGCTCTAAAATCCACACTTATACAAAATAAAATATTTAACCAGTCACCCGGTTCATCACCATACAACATTCACCTGTCTTCAACCTTGTATATATTGTATGTTTTAATTTTATTTATTTTAACTTTTCTGAGTGAACTGTAAAATTTCAAAAATAATCTTCAAAAATTTTAACTGTATAACTAAATTAGTTTATTATTAATATTTAATGTATTCGGCTTCTGCAAATTTATAATTTAAAAAATTAATATTAGCTTCCTAGTATTAATTAAATCAATAATTGTCCTCAGTTAAAGTATAAAATTGAATGAAAAAGTTTGAAAGTTTGTGGACGTTTAAAAGTTTTTAACAGAAATTTTTTCTTTTAGTGAAAAATAAATGTCCCGTAGAAATTTTTTTTCTTAGGAGCCAGACTTGTGCTCGTACTTCATTCATACTTTGTATGGCTTAATAACCATTAGAGACATGGGAAAGGCTGAGATAAATTTTTAAGCAAAGAATTCAGAATCCAGCTTGTTTAAAATATACTTTATTTTTTCTTTATGAAAAAAAAAATGGTTCAACCTAAATCAAAATGTATTATTTAAATCACAAATGTTTGATCTTTTTAAATTTTTTGTGAAAAAATAAAGTTTAAATTTATTACTCTAAAATAATTTTTCTCTAGTTTATCCCTTTCTGAAACTCAAATTTACAACTACTTTCAAACACAAAATACTTTCAAATTTACTGAGGTACATTTTACGCCTAAGATAAAAATAAAAAAAACTATTTTTATAGTTTTTAAAAATTGTAACTCTTAATAAACTTTTTAAATGAAAAAAGTGAACATTTGGCCTAGCACACTTTCAGTATTGCAGTTTTTGTATAATAAAGATATTCTACACACAAACCTTTAAATTTTAGAATAAAAACACACTGCTCCGCTTTCGAGAGTCGTAAAAAAGTCACTGAAATGCTATTGACACCAATGATGCTCAATTAGTTGTGGTCATAGGTACTACTGATATTGTGGTAATAGGTACTTTTTCTTTTTTTGTTTCTTCCTCATTGATTATGTAAAATACTTCAATATTTTTCTTTTTTTTTTAAATAAAATAACTTAGTTAAAAATTTAATGAAAAATAACTACGAAAAATAACACTTCTTATTGTTTTATTCAATTTAATAAAATTGACAATATCCCATTTTACATTTGTTCATTATTGAATCTGCTTTATAAACTTTTGTATTACTTAATGTTAATTTAGATTCGCCATTTGAGTCATGTGAAAAATTATGACAGAACGATTACATACATTTAAATATTAAAAAAAAATTATATGGTAACTGAATTTTTCCTTTCTTTTTTTATTGTTATTTGAATGCAGATTTTTAAGAGGTCAGTCGTATTCAATTCGATATTTTATTTAGTTAGATAAAAAAATTTTAAAAAAATAAAAATTTTTCTCAATTGTAAAAAGACCTTAAACAGGCTAAATGATGTTCTGAAGTCCAATCAATGATATTTTGTAAAAAAAAAAAAAAAGGCAACTTTCAATATGGATACATTGCAATTTTTATTAACCTATGGACATCAAATAAAATTAATAGTAAATTTATGTGGTCACTAACAATGGCAAATGGAATAAAAATTTCTAAGAATCTTTTGAGACTTCATCCCACTGTCTATATTAGTTTAGTTTTTTTTAGTATGTTTCGGATGTTTAATAAATTAAGATAATTTAAGACACATTGTTTTTTAAAAAAATTCAAACACATTAGAGATAAAAGAGAAGTGAAAAATAATTGGATAGAACTTCTACAAATATATAAAATGAAATTTGTGATTCATAAATATATTAAAAATTTCTTATTAAGTACAGAAAGTATTATTAAGTATACAATTATTATGATACAATTCAGTCAAAATAATAACTGTACAGCATTTTAATAATTGTAAAACATACATTTGCTTTAAAAAACATTTATTTCAAACAATGTCAAAATCTTGCTTTTTCATTTGATTTTACGATTTGAAGTTGTTCTGTTTCATCATTTTAATTTTCCGATATATGTCCGGATGCCTCAACCTCTTAATTTATCTGATTCATCCTCATCACTTCATGCTGAAATATTTTCCACTGTAATTACCTTCCCATAAAATCAGTTCCTTTTGGATGCACAAAATTAGCAATTTTTTCTCACATATTCTTTATACACATCTTGCATGTCTACTTCGTAGGGAACATAATTCAGGCAATTGCTTTTGGCAAATATAGTAATTTGCTTCTAATTAGGATTTTAAGAAATTAATCATAAAATTGGACATGTAAAATTTTTAAGAATTGGAATTAAAAAAAATACTTTAAATTAAATGAACTTAAAAAAGCAATTTAAGTTCAGGAATCAGGAAAAAAAAAATTTTACAAAAATATTAATATAACTATTAAAAAATATTTTGTGAAATTGAAGGTCACCAAGAAATAAATTTCGATTAAAGAGGCTCTTACTATTAACCACATGGTAAGTGCGTAGGAGATACAGATTAACAGAAGAATCGAGAGAGGAAAGAGGTAGCAATATTCAACTGTATAATAATACTAAAATAAGCAATAGTAAGAATTACCATGGACTTTACATGTTGGCTTTATTTGTTGTCGGAGAAGTGCTATATTATTATAACACCCGACAACAGCATCTAAGGCATTTAGCCCTTCCCAAGGATACCCTGAAGCATGAGATTCTTTTCCAGTAAATGTAATGGTCATCTAATTAAACAAAATGGAAAAATACAATTATCTTTCATAATTGATAATATCTTAAAATAATAGCAGCAACCCCACACAAATAGAAAAATTAATAAATTTAGAAATTCTACAGTTTGCAAATGTATATTAAAATTAAAAATGTATAAATACAAATATCCCTAAGAAAAACTAAGGAAAAATAATAAAAAACATTTGACACTTTATATAAATGAGAAAATTTGTATGCAAATGCCTCTCTTCTATACCGTTTAGTTCTATAATAAAATGGGTGAATAATTGTTTTGCCATGTAGAATGCAGTTTTCTGATCATATGTCAGAGGGTTAAAAATAAATCAGTAGTTGATTAAACAATTTATAAACTTCTTATTTTATTTAACTGCACTTTTCCATAAATGATTAAGTTTTTAAAAATTATGATAAATAGACTAAATTATTTAAAAAAAAAACATATTGTAATCAAAACGTATAAAAATATTTTTACAACTAATGAGTTATCTGTAATAATAGAATTTAAAATTTTCTATGCCAGTAATTAATGCAAACATTTTTAGTTATTATTTTCAGGCAAGACAGTTACGAAAAACTTGAAATGAGTAAAACAATTAACAAACACGCACAAGAAAAAACAAGCAACTTATTACACTGGAATGTTGCAACTGTATATTTAAAATTTATTCTTTTAGCTTTATAACTTAAACTATACAAAATTGTAAAAATATAGATGAAATTTAACTTCAGAGCTTACATACTTATCATTATAGAAGATAGTCTTTTTATTTTTAACAAACATAAGGTCAATTTTGGACTCACACACACAAAAAAAAAATTCCAATTAATAAATATTTTAGTTGTAACCAATTTAACAAACCTTTTTAACCAACAGATGTTTTAAAAAATCAACAAGAAAAGTGCATTTGTATTTGAAAATTAATAATAGTTAGAAATTAACATTTGTACATTTTATTAAAAATATTAAAGTAAAATATGTGTCTGACTTCTCTATAAAAAAACATTGTAAGAGTATTTTTCTATATATTTAAGCTTATCATAGCAGATAAGGATAATCTATGTAGAAAAAAAAAAATCAGTCACAGACTTTCAAAGCATTTTTGTGTACATTATCATTATTTTGTCTATGCTTACATTTTGTCTATATGATTTAATAAATGCATAAATAAGTATATACTTTGGTGCAATATAAGAAATTATTCGATTTGTACAATACTCGATTTGAAAAAAAAAATTAATGCTAAACGACAAAATTGGTGGTGGCCGTAAAGTTAAGAAAAGAAAAAATTGGTCATGGAAATATTTTCTATTCCGTATAAAGAAAAAGTTGTTTAAAAAACGTGGTCATAACTAAAATATTGAGCATTGGTAGTAAAAATTTTTTTTTAAAAAATGAGTAAAAGAATACTATGAATGAACATGCAATTAAGTGAAGCAATATTTTCTGATGAACATATATATTTTTATATTACACAAAACCTGCTCATTCTTAGATTTTTATTTTGAAACAAATTTGTATTTATAACTTTTTTATTCTGTCTCTACTACTGGACCGATTTATATAAAGAAATAAAACAATTAAAGAACACCAACATATTTTATAAGAACTTAAATAAACACACTTTTTTGTCAACTAATTTTGATAGTCAATGTATGTGTCGAAATAAATATTTTGGTAAGCAATAAAATTTCAATAAATTATTTCTGTATGGAAAATGAATAAAATTTTAAATCCTTTAGTGAGTTTTGAAAAATTCAATTTAAAATAACATTAAAAATTTGGAACAATGTTACCTTTTAGTAAGAAAATAAAATATATTTTAATTCAGCAACAATTTAAAAATATTATAGTTTTACTAAAATATTTACTAAAGAGTTTTAAATATAATATTATTAGACTCAAAAACAAAAGCTAGAATAGAATAATTGAATAATCAAAATGATGGGAAAAAAAGTACAAAAAGAAATTATTACTCTTTCAATTCCAATGAAGGGTGGAAATAGATGATCATTTGGAGCCGGATGAACCATTAAAGCTACATCGACATCGTTAAAAACACCTGCATTAATCAACTTAATCTTTCCACCGCCTCCTTCTTCAGCTGGCGTGCCAATCACTACAACCTGAAAAAAATTGCTTATTAACATTTTTTTACATATTACTTCGTATATAAATTATTTTAAAAAATAGCAATAAAAATAACAATTTTGACAATTTGTGCATTTTACTTCTAAATAGAAAATTTAGCATGCATGCTGCTTACAATATTTTAGATGTTATATTTCATACCTTCCCAGGTATTTCTGGGTATGTTGTCATGGCAGCTTTTATAGCAAGACCAGCTCCAAATCCAGATTCAGCAATTAAGTTATGTCCACAGGCATGTCCTACCTCGGGAAGGGCATCATATTCACAAATGGTTGCCACAACTGGCCCAGGTTCTAAAATATATGACCCATGTTATATTATTTTTCCAGTACAGATTTTATTAATGTAGTACAAAATCTTAAAAAAAGATAGAAGGATAATAATTACAATTGAATAAAAGATTTTAAATATAAAATAATTATTTGTTAAGTGACAGAATTTTAAAAACTTCCAGAAAAAGTAATGGTTGGTAGGTAGGTAATTTATTTACGTCGCACTAGAGCTGCACAATGGGCTATTGGCATAGGTCTGGGAAACATCCCTGAGCATGATTCGAAGACATTCCATCGCAATTTTGATCCTCTGCAGAGAGGACAGCTCCCTTACTTAGGTAGCCTGATGAGCTGCGCGTGAAGTCAAGCACTTTATAGTAGAACAGTTTAACTAGGACCGATACTGCACACCCTCAGTCTCTATGCAAGCAGATTCAAAGTGGTCGCCCACCCACTTACTGAACACAGCTAGTGATGCTTGACTTCTGTGTTCTACTAGTAACCACGTCTTAATGATCATTTCACTATGAGAGCCAAAAAAAGTAATAAACAAATTATTGTATCACTATGGCTTTGAACTTGTTTTTAATTAAATTGCTGAATTTTGTATTATATGTTATAAAAGTAAAAATACAAAGGTTCAAATAAAAGTTAACAATTTTCTTGTTAAGCATGAACATTTATTTCCATGAAAATGTTCTAATAAAATATACCGTGTTATATATAAATTTGTTACAATGTTATGAAATATTTAGAAGTAAGGTACAGATAAAAGTGTTAATCAACAAAAGATTTTAAACACTAAATCTTTGCTTAAATATAAAGTCAAGTTAGTTAAAAAAAGAGTTAAAGTAGATAAATCGATTAAAATATTAAAGGTATCTAACTCTTTAAAAATTTTGTGTATGTTCCGCTTGATGTAAGTTACGGGACTTATCCAAAATTAAACCTACAATATTTCCTTACTATAAAAAAATTTATAGTTGAGTTGAAAGTAAAAATTTATATATTTGACTTGAAAGTAACTTCAGAAAATTATAATATTAAATAAAGAGATATTGAAATTCTTTATATCTCGAGAAAAGTTTAGAAAAACTATTTATATAGCTGGCACACCCTTCACTAACTCCCAGTAGCACGCTGTAAATTATTTATTTTTTCAAAACAAAAATAAAACAAAATACATTTGTATTATTCTAATTTTTAAAATCCATTTATGCCATGGTAGTTTCAAAGTATAACTATTAACAAAATAGAAATCCTCCGATAATATTCCTCAACTAATAATCATTATAACAAAAAAATTACACTAAATTCTTAATTTTCACTCAATCAGTAAGTAGAATTTACATTAATGCAACAAAAATCACATTCCCATTTTGTTTCATCAGGCAAAGAGAACTTATAAAGCTTTACAACAAGCAAATACATAACTAAATTAACAAATTGAGTTAATATAATGTCAAGCTAAATTCTCGATTTTAATTTTAAATAAGTAAATAAATAAAAGTGATTCTTGGTGATGCAGATATTGAATAAAGATATGAGAAAAATTAGTTTAAAAATAAATTCACTTTTTGAATCGAATTCAGCTATAAAGGCAGTTGGTAATACGAAGCTTTTCTTCACAGAAAATCCTTTTTCAATTAAAGCATCAGTTAATAATTTATGAGCAGCAATTTCCTCGAATTTCAATTCAGGATTTTTCCAAATTTCTTCACTTATTCGATTTAAAAGCTTTGCTTCGTTATTTATGGAAGAATCAACAACTTCAAGAAATTTTTTCTCCATTTGAATTGTATAGATATTTAACGAAATCTTTCTCAAGAACGAAATTAAATGAAATTAAACAACTTTCTGCGGCTTCTCAGCTATCTATGAAAATTGTGAAAAGTGGACTGGGAGGGATGAGAGATTTAGCTGCCTATTTCTGCTCCGCTCACGGCTTTATCAAATGATTCTGCAAGCCTCTCTGTTAAACTCACCGTTGCTATGTGGCATGAGCACACGATAGATTTACGTTGGCATCCGAACCGTCTACCTCCATACTCGAGAATGTTCGGCGTAAAGCCACAGGAGATTCTCAACCTGGATGTATCTTCGTGATGTCTTTCTCTAACTTGTACTCTCTGTTCTTCAACTTCCATCCCCTTTGCAGATGACCAAAATTAGAAGGACATGCTTTCAATTCATCTTTAAGGCATGTTTCCCAGACCGTGCAGTTCAACAGCGACGTAAATAAAGCACTCCTACTCCTACTACCTTTTTACCAAGGAAAAACTCGCTTATCAGGTTCTCATTTGCTGAAGTTGTTGTTGTAGCTCATTTACGTCGCACTAGAGCTGAACTATGGGTTATTGGCGACGGTTTGGGATACACACCTGAGGATGATCCGAAGACATGCCATCCCAATTTTGATCCTCTACAGAGGGGAGGGAAACCTAGCTTCGGTAGCCCGACGACCTGGTTGTGAAGTCTAGCACTTTACAGCTGAACAATTTAGCGAGGACTAATACCGCACACCCTCGGTCCCTACGCAGACTGATCCAAGTGGTCACCCACCAGCACACTGACCGCAGTCAGAGATACTTGACTTCGGTGATCTGCTGGGAACCGTGTCTTAACGATCAGTCCACTGCGGAACGGTTCTTATTTGCATGCGAAAAAAGTAGCATTCAATGAGAATGGTCCTTATTGTGATACATTAAAAATGTTCTTATGTGCGGCATATTAAGAAGTAATAAATGACCTAATTATATTTATTACTTGTTAATCAGTCTCGCAGTGGACTGATCGTTAAGACACGGTTCCCAGCAGATCACCGAAGTCAAGCATCACTGACTACGGTCAGTGTGCGGGTGGGTGACCACTTGGATCAGTCTGCGTAGGGACCGAGGGTGTGCGGTATTGGTCCTCGTTAAACTGTGCTACCGTAAAGCGCTTGACTTCGCGCGCAGGTCGTCGGGCTACCGAAGCGGGGGTGCCATCCCCTCCGCAGAGGATCAAAATTGTGATGGCATGTCTTCGGATCATCCTCCGGGAAGTTTCCCAGATCGTCGCCAATAGCCCATTGTGCAGCTCGAGTGCGACGTAAATTTACAACAACAACAACAACTTATTAATTAACTTATTTTTTTGCTTTTGACATTAATCCAAGTGTGAGCTCATAAAATGAATAATTCGAAAGTATTTCAACAACAATCCATAAATATTCAGTTATTTAAAGCAAAAAAGAAAAAAAACGATATAAACTAAAAAAAAAGCACTTAAAACCTGCAATAACTTTCAAACAAACAGGAATTTTTTAAAAGAGGAAAGAAAAACTCGAGTCCCCCATTAAGTCTAGAAATGAAAATTGCCTTTACGGAACTTTAAATTTAAACTCCGTTGTTGCGTTTTTAACGGGATGTAGATCGATATGCTTGGTATTTTTTAATCTAGGTATAATAATTATTGATTCTCGAAACAAATCTAAACCTTCATTTCGAAAAAAAAATATCTTACATTTTGTACATTTGTCCTTACATCTTCACTATTTCACAATTATAAATTGAAAATTTTTTGAGCAACTTAATAAAATGTAACGTAAATATAAAAAAATTGCACAATGTACTCAAAATTATCTAAACTTTCAAGCAAATTGGAATTTCGAAAAGAAAAAAAAAATTAAAAAATCTTGTTAGTCCATAAGCAAAAATTGTCGCTTTACGTCAAATTTCAACACTGTAATATCATTTCTGCGGCCCTCAAAAAGAATACATGGAATTATCAAAACTATTGAAAAATCTAAATTAATAAATGAATTTCTTGTAAGTTGTCCATTAAATTTATTATTTCCAAGACAAAATTTGCTTAGCTATAAGTTACTAAGACAGTTTTTAAAAAAATATACTAATGAGTTTAATTTAAATTTTGTTAGTTCAGGAATGTTCACAACACGGTTTCTTTGTCATATGACATCTTTAGAAATGTAAGTGTCAGATATGATATTGATATCTAGTTTTGTTATTGTAATAGTTATGCACAATTAAAATAATTTCTGCAAATATAGTTTTTATAATTTATTTCTTCCACTTTTATGTAATAATATTTGAGTAAATTTATTTTAAATGTAATTTTAAACAAAGTACCTTTTTACAGTTACTTAAAAATAGTAATTTTTTCCGGGGATTTGATAGAAAATTGAAAAAAGTCGGTGTCGAACATTCGAATCGACAGCTTTGCTTACCTTCTCATTGAGTAATCTTCCCATGTTTTCCTAATATTTGATAATTTGTGACGCTCGATAATTTGCAACAATTGCTGAACTTCGAAAACGTTTTCCTAAAAAGTAATTTTTGAAGACATTTGGGCATAAAATGTTTTACTACAGCATTAGTTCCAAGTGTTTTTCGGCTGTGCAGCCAAAATGGTCAAGCTTCTTTTAAAGGAGCCCTTTCATTACATATACATGTATAAGAAAAAAGTTCCAGAAAACCAATTATAAATATAATAAAAAAAAAGCATAGGAAAAAAACAAACAAATATATATATAACAGAAAAAAACCAGTTATAAGTATATTACCAAAAAATAAAAAATAAATTTTAAAAAAGAGCTGATAAAAAACTACTAATTATTTTGAAAATAGTTAACGTGAAAAATGAAATATTTAATACTCTGAATTTTTCTTGTGCGTTTACAGAAGCTGAAAATGAATAAAATATGCTAATTTATGGATTTTATATTAAAAAAAACCCTGCTATAAGCGTTAAGAATAGTTGTCAGAGAGGCCGGGATAGCCTGGTCGGTAGGGGCCTGGCCCATGTCCGAGAGTTCGTGGGTTCGAACCCCGCCGGCCGAAGATTCCCCGTGTAGTAAATAGTGACTGATCACGTTAAATCTGTCTAGTCGCAAAGTCCTCCATGTTCCCATTACAAATCAAGACCTCTGGGGGTACTGGATTGGAGATCGATCGTTCTCTGATTCAGGTCAAAATTACGATCTGTGGATGAATGGATGTGTGAATGGGTCAGTCCTATAAAGCGGGCTGCGACGTGTGTGTGGCTCGTCGACGAATTCCTGGCCATAGGATGGTGCCACTGAAAAACAAGAAACGTACACTCTGCCTTAAATGTGCTCGGCTTCACCAGGCAGCCTTGCCCGGGTGGCAAGTGACATTAGAAACAACAACAACAACATACATTTCAGAGAAACGTGATTCTTTATTCTTGAATTAAGTTACTTTATTTTGAATAAAAAAAGCTCGATGAGAAATACTTATCGAATTGTTTAAAAATGTATATCCTTTTCATAATTTATTCAGTATTTTGTTATTGAAAAAAAAATATTTTTATTGCAATTTTGGTATTTTCTTCACAAGTATTTTACATAGATTAGTTCCTATAAGCAACCGAAATATTAAATAAATTATGGATTATTGATTGGATATAAGTATAATTATTACAGGTTAAAGAAAATCGTAAAATTCGTAATCTTTCGACGAGGCCTCAGGGTGCTTCGGAACAACTTTTGGATGCCACTGAACTACGGTACGACCTCACAATTGTGAGAACCCCCAAAAAGTTTAGATTGCTTTAAAGCATTTATTCATTCATCTATAGATGTTTCTTCTGTTTTTTCTTGTTAAGCATCCATAAAATTAAAAATTTTATTTTATTTAACACAAAAAACTGTTTTCATTTTCAAATAATTTCTATTATGGTTTTCTAAACTTTTAAAAAGCAGTTAACAACTAACGAAGTAGTTTTAAATGTGAAATACAGGGTGTTTATAAAGTCCCGGACCAATTTTGATGTTTAATAACTCCTAAAATAATAAAGATAGATTAAAATTAATAACATAAATGGTTAGATAGACTCAAAAAGTTTCATGGCCCTTGTCAATGAACTTCCACGTGTGCCCCCTTCGTCGCACGGAGAATATCAAGTCGATAGTCAATTTCACGCCAGATAGCGGCAAGCATGTCGGCATCCACAGAAGCTATTGCCGTTGTAATTCTGGCTTTTAAGTCATCAATGTTCCACACGATCCCCCTGTAGACATTGTCCTTTATAAATTCCCAAAGAAAAAAGTCCAGCGGCGTTATATCAGGTGATCTGGGTGGCCAAGGAATTGGACCCCCTTGCCCAATCTATCTTCCTGGAAAATGGTCATTCAAAGAACTACGAACGATGATACCCCAATGAGGTGGTGCACCATCTTATTGCAAAAAGACATGTGGCTGAAGCTCTTCTAGTTGTGGAAATACGAAGTTTTCCAACATGCAAGTATACGACTGATGAGACCGTCTTTTCCGTAAAAAAGAAAGGCCCAATGACTCGGGCGTGCATTAGTCCACACCACACTTTGGGGAATCCCTTTGTGTCTCACGGTATTCATGGGGGATTTCAGATCCCCGTATGCGCACATTATGGCGATTAACAATGCTAGAAACATGAAAGGATGCTTCGCCGGAGAACATTATGCGCTTCAGAAAATCAGCAGCATCTTCTATCCTTCCTACCATATCTTCTATCCTCCTAGGCCTATCGTCCGGTTCCAAACCTTGAACAATTTGATCTTTGTATGCATGCAGTCTTAATTGTTTCTTAATAACCTTGTACACCGTCGAAATCGGCATATCCAATTCTCTTGCCGCTGATCTCACAGATCTTCTAGGATTGTCTAAAAATGTCTGTCTGACACGCTCAACGTCAAAATCACTTGTGCAGGGACGTCCGGAACGTTTATTGTCTGCGATACTTTCAGTTTCTAGAAAATTCTTTTTCCACTGCAAGATGCTGCTTTTGGATGGAGGATCTTTTTGGTAAATTCTTCTGCGATTTCTCTGTGCTTGTACTATCGATTTCGTTTCTGTGAACCACCATAAAATATCCGCTCGAATAAAATGCTTTCTCTTGTGGTGTATGCATTCTCCTTAATATCCGCTCGAATAAAACATCACAAAGAAAAGTACTACATAGAACAAACACATCAAAAATAAACATAACATTGCAATAGTTGCCAAAAACAAAAGAGAGAAAAATGCTATTAATAAGCAGACGATATTTAGAATGGAAAAGGAAATTTTCTGAAATTAACCACACGCGCAGACGATATTTACAAAAGTAAAGATATTTAAACCTGAAAAGGAAAATATATGAGTTATTCCATCAATAAATGCCATATGTTTGTTTATATCTTCATTATTTTATGAGTTATTAAACATCAAAATGGATCCGGGAATTTATAAACTCCCTGTATATCAATACCTAAATATTCATAATCCTGGAAAATTACGCTTAATAGTTTTGTATTAAGCATAAAATTACTTTACACGTACAATACTGAAAATTAGATAAACTATTTCGGAAGAATCTAAAAATATATTTTTATTTCCAAATAATGATAAAAATTAGGGTACTAGTTCATTGTGACAATGTAGGTTATCTAATTCAGATAATTATTGCGCTCCTTTTCAAAATTGTTTATTCAACAAAATATGTAACGTCATTAGGCCTCATTTTTAATTCAAAGTAAACACTTGTTTAATTTTTATTTATTTATTATATTTGTTTTCATCCAAAATGTTTTCCAACAGTGGTTCATATAGTATCTCACGTGCCTGCAAATAAGTAATTACATGAAGTTTTTCAGAAAAATATTTTTGATTAAACAACCAATCGTTTAGTTCGAAAAAAGAAACGTTCTGGTTTAGGAACTAAATCATGAGCTTGGAATTAAATTGTTTCAGAAAACTATATTTTTGGTAATTGTTTAAATGTTTAAAGTTTTGTTCACTTCACCAGACGATGAGTGTTAAATTTGCTAAAACTATTGTAGAAAATACGATCGCAAAAAATAAATACGTTTTAAATGAAATCAGTCAAAAAATATGGAAAACTCCAGAGTTATCTTTTGAAGAAAAAGAGGCCCATGATTTGTTAACAGGCTTTCTACAGAAACATGGCTTTAAAGTTCAAAAACATTACCTACTGGAAACCGCATTCAAAGCCGAATATGAAACTGGTGGAGGTGAGTATGCAATTTTTGTTAATTATATGTGATGTGAATAACATTTAAAATTTACGACTTTCTTTAAGTTTGATAACTTCCGACTGTTAGACCTATTTCGTTCGAATTTTGTATTTTGTTATTCAAAATTACCTTCTTTGAAATGATGTGGAAATTTGTATACTTTGTATTTGTATACTATTCAAACTTTTTCCAATATTATTGAATAAATTAATATAAAATAATAATTACTATAAATTACTTTTTAGATGGAATTATCTTTGAATGGAAGAATTTTATTATTACACGTAAAAAACTTTATATTCGCTTTAAGACTACGCAAGTATTGTAGCGAAATATGTAAAAAATGAATACTTACATTAAAAAGCTCCAAACTTTCGACTGCGCTCTCCTGCCTAAAACTAATAAATCCATATTTTTCAAATTGCAGATACTCCCTCCCCATATTTTGAGGGGGTTAATTCAGAAAAAGCACGTTTTTGTATTTGTATTAGTAACTTAAAAGGTCGTCTGCTCTATTGGTATATTAAAGGTTAAGTCCTCAAACAATTAAGTTTGAGTATCGAGTACACGCTAATCCGATCACAAAATCTATAATTATGAGGTGTGTTCCGTTTTCTCTTTTCTTATATAGATAACTTTTGATTTAAATATCGGATTCACACTAGATGTATTGATTTATGATTCGAAGGAGAAAACTTAAATATTATTAAATATTTGTGTAGACAATACATCAAGTTATGAAATCAGACGCAAAAAAATACTTCTTCTGGTTAAACATGATTTTTTCAATTGTTTGTTTGTTATTGATGCTAAAATTATAGGAGAAGCTTCAATATGAAAAAATATAACTCTAATAGTTCAATCAGGGGAATTGTCGAAATTTTTGGTCCCTTAATGTTAATTTCACTTTTATCCCGTTTTATACCGTTAAATAGTACAGAAAAAGTTACATTTTCAATTGATAATTTCTCAAGAACTATTTGAGTAATTTTATCTAAATTTGGGGATTTCTTATTTGAAATTGCATAGTTTAAAAATGTATTGAAAAAATTTGTCTCTCTTGTTATTTAGATTCTTATGAGTCTTATTAAAATACTAACTAAATTAAAATATTAACCATAAAAATAATTTTTTTGCGTATTTTCTTTGGGTAAACGAGTTTTATAATTGTGAGAAAAATTATTCGATTCTTTTAAATAGTTCCAGAGGTATGGTGAAAAAAGCATTTCATTTAATTCTTTGAAAATTTATAATTTAATATTTATAATGTTGTTTGTTAAATATTTATAGTTTGATTGAGTTTTAAATATTTACGATAAAAACAACACCACTTAAATTTATTAAAAAAATACAACTTTATTTTAATAAACTCATATTTTAAAGTCAAAAAACGTTAAAACCAAGACTGGGTATATGTGTTCACTTATGCAGCAAACAAAAGGAAATATAACATCCAATTACCTTAGACCTAGAATACTTTGTTTCTACCCGCGTTTCATTTCAATTCTTCAAGTTCAATATTTCATGGTTATGAGATAAGGAAGTGGTATAAAAGGAAGATAAGTAGAATCCTATTGACCTGATATACAGATTGTCCCGGAATCAATACCTTTGATATATTTTTAGAATATTTCTCAAAAATGAAGTATAAAAGTAAACACAATTACAGTCAAAAATTAATGCACAGGGAAAAAATTAAAATGTTATTTAAGTTTCAATCTGTTTAAATCACTATTGAGGCAGGAGAGATAGTAATAATTTAAACCTGTGTGATTGCCGGAGAAAACACAGCGAAGTTGTAAAACAATTATTTGAAACACCTTAAAGTTTCCTCTAGAAATCAAATTTGTTTGTATAAATTTTAATCAGCTTTCTTTAATAGTGATTCTGGTTCCTATAACATTTTTCTTCTTGTTGACTCTTAAAGGGTAGATTTTTCAATGTAATAATTTTTTTTTATTCAAATCTTTTTAGTCTCCTAATGCTGGAAACATTAATTTATGCGAGGAAGAAACAAAACGTTGAAATCCATCGAATCACTAGTGCTGAAAGCGGGATAAAAACTAGGTAAACAAATTTGATTTGCCAGCGGAAACTTTAAAGTGTCTTAAGGGCTTAAAACTTTTCTCTCTTTTTCCCGGCACTCACACAGGTTTCAATGTTTTCAATCTCGCCTTTCTGACTAATAATCCGTTTTTTTCCCCCAGCATTTAAATATTATCCTGCACCGCTTAACTTGTGTACTTTTTTGTCTATATTTTTGTCAGAGATTTAAAAAATAAATTTTAAAAGGGATTATTACTTAAACATACTGCGCACAATGATTCTAAGTCGTTCACTAACTTTCCAAATTCCCTGTAAGGAATAGGCATCTCAAAGATGCGTGATTTTTCCTCTCTCCACACTATTCCTCTCTCCATTACAAAAGTTACCACAAATCTTGCTTTTTTCTCACGTCAGTATATCCTCCACTTCTTACTGATACATAATGCCAGAGAGAGGAAAAAAAAAAAGATTTTTCGTAACCATTGTAACGTAGAGTGGATAGTATGAAGAGGGGGATAGCATGGAGAGTGGAAAAATCACTTAACCTTGATACACCTATTTCGTTTTTAAAGAATATAGTGATTATGCACTGTATTTATGCGATATTTCTTATCCCTGCAGGAGGTCCGACGATAGCAGTTATTTGTGAATACGATGCTCTACCAAACATCGGTCATGCATGTGGGCATAATTTAATAGCTGAGATAGGCCTAGCAGTTGGCCTAGCAGTTAAAGCCTACCTAGATTGTGATACTGATGTTGTGGGAAAAGTAGGTATAAATTAGTTTCCTATCACTACAACTTTTTTCAATAAAACTAAATGGAGAATATTTAATATTTTTATAAGTTGGGCTGATATTTATGGGCTATTGACGAATGTAACAGCATTCAAATGGTCAAGAATTTTAATCTTTTGAAGAATTTAATCTAAAAGTGACTATTTTCTGTTTCTAGTACCATTCGTTTGGGATATTATTTTGATTAGCCTGGATTCAATGAGTTGTTTTAACTAAATCACTTATTTTCAGAACATTAGACGAAACCATATTAAATAAGCTCAATAAATGAAAAAGTTCTTTTAAAATTAATACTTTAGTCAATAACAGTTTTCCTTCTTTAAAAAAAAAATTATGGTCGTAAAGAGAGATTAGGCAGATCCACATGTTAACAGACAACTTTCCCAAAACCTTATGGTTTTTCGTAACTCAGACACTAACACAATTTTAGCTTCACAGCGCATACGCAAAAATTTGTCCAGAAATCGTTGAACAAGGTTAACGTTATAGTTAGGGTAAGTCTAGCCGCTAAGCAAAATCTCTCAAATAAGTGTCCCGCGGTGGACTGATCGTAAAGACACGGTTCCCGGTAGCAGTCAAGCATCACTGGCTGCGGTCAGCAAGAGGTTGGGTGACCACTTTGATCAGCCTGCATAGGGACCGAGGATGCTCGGTATCTGTCCTCGTTAAACTGTTCTACCGTAAAGTGCTCGACTTCGCGTACAGGTCGTCGGTCTACCGAAGCGGTGGTGCCATCCCCTCTGCAGAGGATCAAAATTGTGATGGCATGTCTTCGGATCATCCTCAGGGATGCTTCCCAGACCGTCGCCAATAGCCCATTGTGCAGCTCTAGTGCGACTAAAATAAAAGTACCTACCTTACTCTCAAGTAGGTAATGGTTAATGGTGACACTGATGTAATTGAACCTTTTTTATTAATCATCATTAAAATTGCTAGGAGAAGCTTATGCACCCAAAATCTAAAAGTGAGAAACATATGCGTATTCCACTCAATATGGTGGGGTCTCGAGAACAACATTGATTCTCAATGTTTGTAGTTTTACTTGAAATGTGTACTTCTTTCTGGTCTTGAGAATTCTGTCGGATGTTTAGCCAATGCATTTGAAATCTTAATTGTTCGGAATTTTTTGAAATGAGATATTCAATTCATCCATTCATTAATCCACCGATCGTAATTTTGACCTGAACAGGAGAACAATCAATCTCCCATTCAGTACCTCCTGAGTTATGATTTGTAATGGGAGCATGAAGGACTTTGTGACCTGACAGATTTAGCGGGCTTCAGTCACCATTTTCTACTCGGGGGAGTCCTTGACTAGTAAAAATCGATCTCATGACCACTTGAACATGGCCCCAACGACCTACCAACCAGCTGACCCGGCCTCCAAAAGAATTGAAACAAATATTCAACCTTACCATCTTTAACAAAACAACATCTAAAATAATTAGGCGTTTCCCTCACGTCTATGCCTCACCTCTACAATAATCATCCTCAACTAATTCCACAACGACAACAACAGTTTGAAAACTATTGCTCTTTTTATTTCACGTCATTTTATTTTAAAGAGCAAGAAGTTCGCACAACGACTGCTAACTACAAAGCTTATATATACACAAAATGAATGCAATAAGGGATGCTGCGCGATCCAGCCCAGACGCCCAGATATCAAAAAGATATCAAACCAGATACCAAATATCAAAACTAGGACTAGGAAATTAATGCTGGCAAATAGGGAAAAATCTGTAATACGTTTTGGGTGCACTGCGTAACTTGATAAGTGTTACATGACTTTTTTACGAAAGATTATTACTAAAGTGATCGCTAAAATTTCAAAACTAAAACTTAAAAAATAAGTAAATAAATTGAAATAAAAAAGAAAAGAAATTAAAAAAAATAAAATTAAAATACTTATTGGAATACTTGTAGGAGGCATATAAATGGATTTTTTTGTTGTTGCAGGAAATGCGTAATAGCCGCCCCTTATTTTTATTTTTAGCATCCTTGAGAAAAGTAAACGAAAATAAGTAAAATATACTAAGTGATTCGGTATATATATAGATTTGTATACGCAAACTAACATTTAAACTAAGAGAAAAACAAAAACGCTAATCAAAATCTGTTGAATCACTTGCGAAAAAGAAGGAATAAAAAATCATCGAAACAGTTTTCTCATTTTGATTGCTTGATGAAAGTTATAAGAGTTTATCATCATCGTTTTTTAAATTCCTCCAAATAATTAAATTTCTTATTTCCTCCAAGTCAGTTTTAATTTCCCCAATTTTCCTTTTTTCAGAAGTGATTTGATAAATTTTGAAAATATTTTCGTTTCATCTTCGGTTAAATATCAATTTGCGGCCCTTAATATGAGTATTTGTTTTACTCCATTTAGACAAGGATTCTAAATATATTGTATATTAAAAGTGGCCATTAAGGAGTAATCTATACAATTTCCTCATAACTACATTGATTAAACTCTTACTCAAAAAATATTTATTTTGGCCTTTTCTTTCATATCCGCTTAATGGTTTAAAATATTCTTATCGATACAATTATGAGAACTAGATGTTTAAACAATGTTGTAAGATTTTTAAATGAAAGTTCCTTACTTGTTTTTAAGGTAGTTGTTTTAGGTACCCCAGCAGAAGAAGGTGGAGGTGGAAAAATAAAAATGATTGAAAGAGGAGCATTTAGGAATGTTGATGCTGCTTTGATGGCCCATCCTCAAGTCGAGAATAGACTGTATCCTCTTATTCTAGATCTAGCACGAGTACGTATAATTTCAAATAAGATACATTGCTTTGTCTAACTATTGTATTTACAAAAAAAATGGCTACTTTAAATAGCATATCTGACTTTAAATATCAATCAGTATTCAATCAACTAGAATGCACACTACAAATTACATTGACACACCATAAGCACTTATTTCAGATTATATTTAATTTAATATAAATATACTGCAGTTTACATAAACTAATCAAGAGCACATACTACAAATTTCATTAGCACGACATAAACACTCACATAAGATTATATTATCTTAATATGTGTATATACTGCAAATTACATAAACTCTTCAAGTTCAAATACAACAAAACAAATTACATTTACGCAACATGAACACTCACTTCGGATTATTTTAAATTAAGTTTATACTTCAAATTATATTAACTCATCAATGATTCATACTACAAATTACATTGACACAGCATAAACACTCACTTCAGATCATAGTAACTTAACATGCTTATATATTGTAGATTATATTAACTCAACTTGTTAGATTACAATAACACAATTTGCAGGAATGCTTTAACTTCATATATGAATGAGTCTAAAACTGCGGCAAAAATAAAAGTGGTAATTTTTTTCTTACACACAAAATTACTGTTTTCCTACTGCTAATATTGTTTTCCTACACATAAAATTACTGTACTCATAGTAAGCTTATATTTTTTGATTCTACTCAAATTTTAAACTGGAGTATTCGATTTCTTAAATCATGGATTCTCTAATCTTGATATTTTTTAAAACTTCGAAAAATTGGAAATAGTTTAAACTTTATCTCGAATAAGATTAAAGTTTAAATCGTGTCTGCGAAGTGTTTGTGGTGCCATTATTGTATTTTTCATGTAAATATAACACAATATGTCATATAATGTATAACGAATTTTTATTACCATCTTTTTTTTTTAAAAAAAAAAGCCTCCCATAATTGTTATTTAACTATTTTAAACGTCGTAAGTTTTTTTTATTTATAAAATTAACACTTTTATACTTGGGAAAATTTAAAATTGTGGATATTTTAAAATGGAATGTTCTGACAATTTTTTTTTTAAAAATTAAGGAATATTTTTTGCTGACGAACTTAAGAACGAAATCTAATATATTTTATTTTTTATCGAAGCATTTGGAATAGTTTCTTATTTGATTTCTTCATGCGAAATGGCATTTTTATCTAGAAATTGATAATTACAACTGTTTCGAAAATATCTTAGACAAAACAATAGAACACAAACTGAAATATTAACTTCGATTAAATTTAATATATGTTTAATTCCCATTTCTTTTAAGTTTTAAATTTTTTAATCGACCTTATTATTAATTTTTTTTAAATATTTTAATAAAATTTATATGAATGAAATAAAGTTTACATAGAACTATATTATAATTTATACAGTGAAAGTTTATTTTTCTGCCTGGTTTCGTAACTTGTAATTACGTCAGATGAATGATTTTATTATTGATTAAATAAATGATTTATTATTTGAATGAATAATTTTATTCTTTTAACTTTTTAAAGCATTCAGCAATTGATTTTAATAACAAATTGGCTTTTACGAGAACATATATTTTCGAAAAATCCTTATGCAATGACTTTACAGATGTCTGTAAAATACAGAATTAAGGAAGGAACTGATCCGTGGTGTAATTCGAATGCTGTTGATGCATGCGTGAGCTGTTATAACAATGTTGCCATCATGCGAAGCTCTTTAAAATCAAAATGGAGAGTAAGCGGTAAGTTAAAAGTCTATTGTATAATTTTTGAAAAATTAAGCAAGAAATACCAATAAAAATACTAGTGCAGGTTAAAACAGCAACAAGTAAGATCGTCTATGAGCCGCGATGGCTAAGGGGCTAAAGCATTCGCCTTCCAATGACGCGAACCGGGTTCGAATCCCAGTCGATACGAATTCCGCATCTGGCTAGCAACGACCACAGTGCTGACGTGAAATATCTTCTGTGGTAGACGTATCATGGTTAGAGTCCCCTTGCCGTCAGGCTAACAGTGGGAGGTTCTCGTGGCCTTCCTCTCCATGTAACGCAAATGCGGGTTAACTCCATAAAAAGTCCTCCACGAAGGCGAAATTTCTCCCAATACGTGATTCGGGAGTTCCCTTGTCTTCTGGGTTGGGTTCAAGATTACAAGGCTACGGAGTTGAACATTAGTAGTCGTAAACCCATAAAATTGGGTCAGCTGCTTAACACCGGCTATAAAAAAATAAAAAAAGTAAGCTCGCCTGTGCCGCGGTGACTCAGGAAATAGTGCACTCGCCCTCCAATGAGAAGATGCGGGTTCGAATCCCAGCGATAGCTGGTTAACAAGAATTCCACACCCAGCTCGCACAGACCACAGTGATGACGTAAAATATCTCCAATGGTGGACGGATCATGGGTTGGAGTCTCCTTGCCGTAAGGCTAACCAAAGGAGATTTTATTGGTTTTGCTCTCCGTGTAACGCAAATGCGGGTTAGCTCTATCGAAGGGTCCTCAACGAAGACAAATTTCACCCAATACTTGAGCTAGGAGTTCTTTTGTCTTCTGGATGGGGTTTAAAATTATAAAGATATGAAGTTAAACATTACTAGTCACAAACTAAAAAATTGGATTGGCAGTCCAACGACGGTTATAAAATAAAATAAAAGGTAAGCTCCCCTCCCAATGAGGTGACTCAAGCTGGTCCTTACTAATACATATGCTGGCTGTCATTGACTCCAGTGCTGACATAAAATATCCTCAGTGGTAAATAGTTCATGGGTTAGAATCCTCTTATTGTCAGGCTAACCGTAGGAGATTTTCGTGTTTTTTCACTCCATGTAACGAAAATGGAAGTTAATTCCAACGAAAAGTCTTCAGCGAAGACCAGTTCCCCCCTCCATCATTATCACCATCACCAATTTTGTTCTAGTCATTAGAAAATTACCCATCATTATTTATCTTATTTTTCATGACAGAATAATGGCTAACAAACCTTAGTCAGTACAATTCCGGAGCGAATGAAAATTTTACATATTGAACCAACTCGGTTAATGAACCCGAGTTCTGATTTAAAATTGCAGGCATTTTGTCTTTGCATCTTGAACACTTGTACATGACACGTTGACAATAGCTGATGACTTAAAAGGCAACATTATCATTACTTTTCTTATTATGACCTTAGCTAAGAAAATAAAACAGCAAAAGTTAGCGTCCAAAGCATTGAAATAATGTGCTGGTAAAAAGAAAGAAAATTTCATCACTTATAAGTATTTTTTTTTTGTTTCGTGAATAAATTTATATAACTCTTTAATTGAACTTTAGTTGGTTATAGAAGTAGATAATATTTTTAAATAAGTTAGTTCATTTAAAAATATTTCATAATTTTTTAAACTAATGCTTCGTGAGGAATTTTTATGATGGAATTAATCCGTGTTTCTGTTACATGGAGAGGAAAACCAAGAAAACCTTCCACAGTTTGAGCAAAGGCAAGGGGATTCTAAACCCTAATACATCTAACAATGAGGATATTTTTTCAGCACTGTGGTCAGTGTGACCTAGGAGCAGAATTCGTATCGACCAGCCATTGCTGACATTCGAACCAAGGTCATCTTATTAAAAAACTCTATCCCCTGAGCCTCCAAGGTGTCCAGGGCAATATTTCATTATGTTTTTTTATAACTGGCGTTGAATAGTCCACAAATTTTCGGGTATTTGTCACTTTTCGTTTAGTGGGGTGCCTTTAATTTTTTCCTGCTAATTTTTGGATACATAGAGTGTTGGATACACGTAGATACAAAACTCTGGAAAACAGCGAAAAATTAATCTTATGAAACATAGAAAACTTTTTCATTAATAAAACCTAATAGATTTCGAACTAAATTTCACTTTTCACCTGAAAGTTCAGGAAAGCATAAGTATTCATTTTTTGATATTACAATCGTAATCAAGTATAATTAATGTAATCAACAAGCGTAATCAAGAGACCATTTGCCCTCTCTATGAAATTCCCACCTTTTCTGAGGACCACTGTTCTTTAAGTCAGTTCTAGTTTAATAAAATATTGCTATTAATTTGCACATTTTGAATTTAAAAGCAGTGTAAAATTTCAATTGTATTTTTAGGTTCGAATTATTTTTCTCTTTTTTTTTCTAAAGCAGTTAGCTGCGTTTTAAATCCAAATTAGTTTAAATATTTAAAATGTTTTTATAAAATTTGTGATTTGTTAAAAACTTTTATGAAATATCCAGCATTCTAGTTGAAATAAATATTATTCACCATTTATAAAAAAAAAAAAAAAAAAAAAAAAAAAAAAAAAAGTCTTGCTGTCCCCTTCTGACGTCACAGCAGAACGTGACGATTTCTTATTTTCCAGTCTTTCCTCTTTAATGCATTAAGGGAATTTTTCGCCGTCGAAAACAAATAATAATAATTAAAAAAAATCAACAGAAGTAGCAAAAATAGAAATCAATACTAGTGAATCTTGCATCCATGAATCTATAATTGAATCCTCTAAAATGATGTAAAAAATTGTATACCTTTTAATTCAAAATTTTCCAACTATTATTAAATAAAAGAATTAAAAATAATAAATATTTACTAAAAGCTATATTTTGCATGAACTTATCCCTGGACAAACGAATTTTTTAATAGTGTGCAAATTTTTTTCAAATTGCTTAAAAATTTCTCGAAATCGGGTGAAATACTCAGAAATTAAAATTATTATTAAGGGATCCCAACTTTGGACACCTCTCCTGACCAAAATATTGGGACAAATATTTTGGAGTCGTAGACCCGAATCTGTCGAAAAAAAGGTATGTTAATTCAGAGAATGTACGTTTTTGTCTCTGATTTCGTACATTAAAATATCATCTGCACTAATTAATTATCATCTTTGATGTCCCCCCCTCGACCCATTGAGTCCTAAAACGTAAAGATCTGACCGTTAGATCAAAAGTTATTCAGGATGGTTCGTTTTTTTTTTTCTTTGCGCTTTTCAACAAGTTTTTTTTTTTCTATCTTGGGATTGTTTTCAATTTTTACTTTCAATGACTGGAAATTATTTTATTTTCAAATTGTTTATGACAGAAAGGATATATCGCAGGTATTTGTGTAATTATATGTTGTCGATAGATTGTAAATATAGATATAATTATCGAAGTTAAAGATAAGTTATAAAAAGTATTCTAAAGTGTAGCATTCTCTTCTACTAACTTTAAAGTAATGAAGTGCACGTAAAACTAAGTACTCTTTGTCCTTATTATTGTTTCGTATAACTACATAAAAACATGATCATGGCGTCAAATATAACACTTGCTTTCTCCCACAGGAATCATCAAGTGTAAAAATTGGGACGAAACTGAACTGTCGTTTAGCTACAGAGCCCCTACTCGCATGGAACTAAGAATGATACAAAAGAAATTAAAAAAATGTGTTCAAGCTGCTGCAGACACAACGAATTGTCTTTATGAGATAGATTTCCATCAAGAATCTGCTCGATCTGAGTACAGGGGCATGGTGGCCAATAGGACTATGGCTGAATTGTTTGCAAAACATGCTGAAACAAAAGGTATAACTCTGCATCAGTATTGCAGATTGGTGAAACAATAGCGCTTTTAATGACAGAAGTGTATTAATTGGTACCAGAGTTTGGCAAAAGTGTAATCGATTACTTTTTTTCATTTACGGTACTCGTAATCCTGATTACAGCATATCATGATTTTGATTGATTATAACAATTGTAATTGCAATAATCGATTACAGTAATTAATTCTTGTAATCTTTATTACAATTCACCATAATTTTGATTTCAATTGTTATCGTGATTTCAAGCAATTGTGATTCCAAATAATCACAACGGAAACGATTACGAGTAATTATGATTATAAGTAATCAAGATATATGTTTACATGTAATCATATATTTCGATTACTTGTAATCACAATTATAAAGTATTGATTAATGTAATTGATTATTATTATCACGATTACAGCTGTAATAAAAATTATGATGTGTTGTAATCACGATTATAAGTAAATAATTACTGTAATCGATTACAAATTTGCCCAACTCTAATCTAATCAGAGATCGTGATTATTCATAATTGCAATTACCTGTAATCACGATAAAAAGTTATCGATTACATGGCAGTCTGTACTAAATCTGTAATAAATTACAGTTGTAATTTATTACGCCCAACTCTGCTTGGTGCAAGCTTTAATTTTGGATTTGAGATCATCTGAGATTTAGGCTATAACAATAATGATCTTTTTTAGTATTTTTTGAAGACCGTGAATAATACCTATTAAACCAATGACAAAAATTTGTTATGTAGTGCATGCAGTTTTCTATTGTAATCAATGTATATCACATGGTTGCTTTACTACCGCTCGCATCACTCACCAACGTCCACGATTGCTTTGCAATCATTTTGGTTTCTTAGCGTAAACCACATTGTTACTTTAAAAGTATTATGTATTGTTCTATTTTTAATAACATATAGCATATTTTAATTATAATAAATTTATTTAAATCAGGTGCATCACATAAATAAAATTATTCTATTACAAATGTATGTAATATAAAAAAAAATCATAATCAGACATCTATAAGATATTTCTGCTTATTTTAATTTGCTAAGGAAGTATCATTGGAAGCTAAGTCTACTTCTTTCTGGAATTGACTTAACTAGAATAATTTTACTTGTCTTTCATTGTATTCGATGGGCTTGATTTGGATGGCTCATTATTTTATATAAACTATTGGTATAAGAGCTGTGCCTAAAAAGCAAAAAATTTTATATTACTAGATTGCTATACGGGGTGCTTTGTAATCACAGCCCTTAATTTATATATATTTAAACCAACCGGTACATACTTACCCAATATTTATAAATTTTGTATAAATTTACTGCAGATGCCACTTATTTCAAAAAGAATTTTCAGGGGGTCAATCAGAAGGGGTCAATGAGAAAGTGTGATATTCGAAGAATATAATGCCAACTTTTCAGATGAAATTCAGATTTTTTTTGCATTTATAAGAATCAGACGGTCGGTTAAATGCCTGTGAAACGAAAACTTAATTTTTCAAAATAATGCTGTAGTTCTTCAAGTTCCGTAGAAATTAGCGATTTAATAGAAACTATTTATTACACTCTTGCTCTTATATTAGCTCATATTTTTTATTTATATTTTGACCATCGTCCCCTCAAGATTCTTTAGCATTCAAAACTTAAAAGGGATACAAAACTCCCTGCATTTTTAAACAAAAGGGACAATTTTTTAGTCAGTAATAGAAAGACCTACATGTTGCGTCGTCCGAAATCAACCTTGTCATTTAGTTTCAAGATCTTGCAAGATCTTAACTGAATGAAAATATCTGGTACCTATGTGGTCGCGCATTATCGTCCATAAAAATAAACTCAGGGCCAACAGCGCCCCTGAAAAGAAGCGCATAGGGCTCTAGGACCTCCTACCTGTACCTCTGGGCATTCACGGAACCATTGTCAAACACATGGAGCGGTGTGCGGGTATCTTGCATGTGCGAAAATGCTTTCCATCTCTTAATTTTTTCCACCAGTGTAGAATACTCACACTTAATCTTTTAATGGAAGAATAATTTATGTTTAATATTTATAAAAATCACAACCACGTCCAATTCATGAATTTAGACAATGATAAGCAAGTGGCGGGGGGGGGACACATTAATAGATATCTTCTTTAAAGATGATCGATCATTTTATCGAGTAGCTACAAAAATTATAATTGTAAAACCGTACAGTCATAACATCATGGACAAGCAATTTTTACATAGGGATTTTCGTACTTTTGTATAAAGTACAATCAAGCACATTAAGACTGTTAACTAGCCCTTTAATTTGTAAAAAAAAAAAGAAAAAACTTGTAAAGCTCTGTCTAATCCTTATTAAGAGGACGCTATACAGCGGGAAAATGTTTTCATATGTCACATTCCATTCCATTGGTTTGTATCTCCATTGGTAATTTAAAATTTAGAGAAAAGTATGTTCAGGCATACCTAGCTTAAGTCATTTGAAATTTCGAATGCTGAGAAATGCTTTCAAAATATCAAAATGCAAACAAATTATGACCGGATTATTCAGGATTACACAAGGGTCAAGTAAACCAGCAATATTTTATTTTAATTTTGATATTTGAAATTTTTTTTCAGCATATGAAACTTCATGGTTTATTTTAAGTATATAAGCCTGGACTCACTTTTTCTAAATTTCAAGTTAACAATGAAGGTGAAATAGAATTTTCCAAGAAAATAAAACCTTTTCCAAAAACTACTTATTTAGAATGAAGCTGCACTGTAAAAAATTCCGGATCAAATTACGGTATAAAGTACTAACACTTTGAGTGTATCATCCATAAACTCTATTTTACCGTAAAATCCATTTTTACCGTAAAATTCATTTCCAGTAATATTTATTTAACTGGTGCATTTGAATGATTTTACGGTAATTATTACTGTGAAAATTACTTTACGGTATATCAGATGCTTTGTTCCGTAACTTGTTCCCGTAAAAATGGAAAAGTATCGGTACCCTGAGTGCCGGTCATTTTGACCGCAATTTTTATAGTCTGGAAGGTGATTCCTATCGAAAGAAAACACTACATTCCAGTCCTACAAATCGTTAGCTTTTATTAGGTAACGCATTCCTAGTTCTTGAATCAACCTCGATACTGATTTTCCCGAATTCGGGTAATGTTTCTTTCCCCTTTCTTTAACGTTATTATGCTTAGTGTATTCAAAAAAGATAGTAAAGACATTTATAATGGAGCAACCTGTATTTATTACTTCATAAATGATAACTAATCATTTTGTGTTTTAACTGTTTAGACAAAAGTAGTTAGTTAATACAAAGCATTGAAGGTTTAATTACAACAAAACATGTGTTAAAAAACATGTGTTTCTTCTACTGAATAAGCAATTTAAATAAATTTTTATGACTTGAACCACTTGTACCATTGAAAAAGGCAGAGTTAGATTTTAGTACAGACTGTACAGAATCCTCATGCGTCAAAAAAAAGTGCCTTAATTCATCTTTTTTTTCTAACATAATTCTTACTGTTTTAATTTTATATTCTGTCACGTTCTAGAAATCAAGTTTAGAGATGGTGATATGCGCATATGTGAATCCGCTGCATCCACCGATATGGGCAACGTGTCCCATGTTGTTCCAAGTATTCAACCGGAATATTCCATTGGAGCTGGCCCTCATGTTAACCACACCCCAGGATTTGCAATAGCAGCTGCAGATATAAAAGCACAAATACCAACGCTGCATATCGCTGAGTCTCTTGCCTTGACTGTAATAGAGCTGATGTCTAATCCTGAACTTCTGCAGAAAGTTAAAATGGAATATGAAACAAACCCTCATATTGATCCAGTTGGATCACATCGATTTGCAGGTGAATGATTTAATAATTTACTTTTGGATTTCCAAAAAGACAGAACTCTGTACTAGAATACGAAACTCAGTTTATAAGTTGAAAGTGATATTTTTATAGATTCTTAAAAAGACTTTAGAAAGAAAATCATCGTTTAAGAAGCATTGTTGTTTTCTTTGAATAAAAATTATACGAGTAAGACATTGTTATGTGTGCTATTTTAATTCCATGTAAGAGCATGTGATCATTTTTGTATCGATTTAAATGTGTTTTTTGAATCTTGAAGGAATTTTTGACCTTTTTTGAATCTTGTGAAATTCTTTTAGTGAAATTTTGAATCAATGTAATTTAAGTAATTTCTGAAAAGGCTTAAAGTTTTGAACCTTTGAATTTTTTTAAGCATAAATCTTGTTCGTGTTTAAGAAAAAACCGTAATTTAGAGCTAGAAACAATGATCAAAAGTAAGCCGTTGTTAAAAAAAAACACTGTATTACTTTCAATTAAGCTGTTTCACTGCTAAGAGTATTAAAAGACCATGTAAAAGAACTAAATTGAAAGATTAGAGCTGCATAGGGTCATTAAATACCTTTTCTTATCTATATTTAGAATATTTTTGTAATATTTTTAATTCCCTGTATGAATAGTTAAAATGAAGTTACTCCAATAAAGATAGTTTCGTATTTATATTTACAACTTGCATAATGTTTTTAAACTAAAAATAAATGCATGAATAGCTTTTAACTTTTACATTTTTAATGAAAAATATAGTTTTAACTTAAACAACTGGTTCAAACTTTCCATAATTGAATCAATATGCAAGAGTATAGTGAAATAAGTGAACCCAATTTATCAACCAAGGTTCCATATGTTTATAATTTTCTAAAATTTTAATAATAAAGGATAGAATTATCCTATGATTTTAAAATTGATTTTTCAGCTTTTTTCCTATATTTTTTAAATTAAAAAATCTCAAAATATAAATTAGTGACATTTAATTCTGAATATTTGTAAAAACAAATTTCTATAAATTGCTTTATTCGCGCATTATCATGCGATTTGTTTAATAAAATTATTTTTGTTTACCTTAAGCTAAATAAATAAGAATGTGAGGCCGAAAGTTTTTTAATTTAAAATTCCATTTTGAAGGGGTAGTATGGTTCTTCTTTACTCCTTTATTACTCGTTTTAAGCCATCTGGGATACTCATATCTTTTAAATACATAGATACTTGATTAATTTTTACAATATATTTATATTTTGGCAGTAGCTATTGAAACTTGATATTTTGTAAGAGACACTATCGGGATCAGCAACACTTACAGAGAGTTCCATAATTTCCACATTTAATTTATATTTATCACATATACGGTAGCTTACAAAAGGGATATTTTTTAATTTAGTTTAATTAAAGAATGCAAACTCTTTGAAATCACTATTTGAAAATATTAAAATCATTTTTAGCATTCTCAAAGCAGAAAAAAATTATTTTTGAGTCAATTTAGAATAAACAATTTTTATTTTTGAGAAGCAATAATTGAAAAATAATTGGTATTTGACCTTAAGTGTCAATTCAGGTTTCTTTAAAACATAGATATCTCGAAACATGTAATTGTAATTTTTAGCTTCTTCTATGCTGTTTATTGAAATAAAATTCCTCCCTCACGAAATCGTGATAGAAAATAGAAAAGAAAATGATTTATACATAATTTATATTACTTATACAATTGAGTTGATTTATGAAATGGTGATGTTTTATTTGAGAAAATAGCTGTACTGTGTAAAAATAATATTAGTCAAATTGTACGCAAATAGGATGAAGCAAAATTTAAAGAAGGAAAAAAAATTGCATAATTGCTTATTACAAAATGTTTTAAAGGTACAAAAATCTCTGTATAATTCATTCAAAAATAGAATTGCTTTTATTCTCGTTTAATAATATTTTTGATTAAAATAAATCTTATCGAGATTGTTTCCGGCTGTAAAAGTTACGTATAATTTGGAATTTTTAACACGAATCTTAAGAAAATGTAAACATAGAGATGTATTTTAAAAAGAGAAAGAAAAGTCATCCAAATGAAGAACAAGGGGGAAAAAGGATTTCTGTCCATAAGACCTGAATCAGAGAAGAAAAAAAATGATTTTGCTCTCGGAACGGAATGGTTTTCACAGCGTAATAACTCTCGGGGAGAGCCGATTTGTAACGTTATCGATTTTTGAAACTAGTAATTCTCAAAATGAAACAGTATGCGATCCAATCATCATTTTTGTGAAAAATGGATGCAAATGGACCATTCTTCCTCCTCGGTCTGCGAATTCTTTCTTAAAATAAATAATATTAAGATAAATTTATTTAAGTACAGTTGCGTAATTTGTACAAGGGTCGATTTACATTTTTTTTCTTTTTTGACACTATGAGTGTAAGACAGTGGAGCAATATTGTATGGGAACAATTGTTTTTTTTTCAATAAACAAGTTGCTTCGTAATAAAAAAATTTTTTTTTTTGAAGAGTCATATTCAGAGGCCTTCAAAACTATTTAATCAGGAATGTAATTGTGAATGGAAGTAATTGTTGTGACTCCATTGAAACTCCCATATTCATAATTTTAAGTGATTATGGTTGCTGAAAACTTCTTTCAAATCTTTCAAGTAACTGGCATGTGTAAAGTGAAATTGCAGATTTAATGAGACAAGTCGCATTAGTATACGCGTGATTTTAGTGAAACAAATTCGCTAAAAAGTAAGCATGAGAACAGAATGAGACAAGTCGCAAAAAATACATCAGTGACTACTAAGTGTCAGAAATTACAATGAAAACTCAGAGAGACTTTACTGTGATATTGCTACTGTGAATGACCGAAATTGGTGGTTGTTGACTTCCACCAGTGAATGTTGATAATCACATAGATACTTTGATAAATATATACTAGGTATGGTTAAGAGCCACTGCTCGGTATACATTTGCCCGGTATACCCTTCACTGATGTTTTTTTAGACTTCAGTGCCACTGCCCGGTACTCCGAACACTGATATTTCTCCTAATCTGTCCCCAAATGATATTAAAATATCGAAAAAATATTATAATATCAGCGAATAAATTTATATCAAATCGGATATAACAAATATTTCAGACATTCACCTAAGGGACTATGTGATTGTTGACATTCACCGGTGAAAGTCGACACTCTCTTGATTTCGGTCATTCACTGTAAAAATTTCACAAAATAAAGTCAAATTCACATTATGAACTTTTGGGACAATTTAAAACGATCATACCTGTGACTGTTTTTGACTTCATTGTGACGTCACTGTGGCAATCTGTGCTATCTGGGAACTGGAGTGATCATATTTCATAAAAGTCCGTGTCTGATTTTTTTTTGTTGTCGTATGCCTGTTTAGGCAGTGGGGGTGCGATTGTTCCTGTTTTTCAGTGGCGACATCTATGGCCAGGAATTCGACTTCTGCCACGCCATTCACACAACCCGTTTATAGGGCGGGTCACATTCACACACAGAGAAGAAAGTACATAGAACACATAGAGAGAAAAAGAAACATCCATGCCTTGCCCGGGATCAGAACCCAGGACCTTTCTGATGCAAGGACAGTCCCCTGCCCCCTACACGGCCCGTCGGCTCTGTGTCTGATGCCGGAACAAATTACAATATTACGACCAATTTCCGACGAAGAAGAAAATGATTAAATAAAAATTTAAAAGCAACGTTCTTCAAGCAGATTAAAAATAAGAAAAATATATTTGTCAAAATATCTAGGGCAATTGACTTCAAAATAAATTTAGATCATCACCAAAATTTCTAAAATTAAAAATGTGTGAAAAAATGTATTTTTTATTTTAGGTTTGATAGAAATTTTTTTTTTTATTATAGTTTATTTGCAAAACTTAGTTTTTAAAATAATGTTTTATTTTATATTTTTAATATAAAACTATCGGGCTTAAATTACATTTCAATTTATCGTAATGTTTTCTTAAGTAAAAAGAAGAAAATTAGTATCTGCAAAATATAATAGTTGAAAAAAAAATAATTTGCAAATTACTGTTTTTGATTTCACTATTTTTGAGTAAACATTCAAAGCAAAGATATTTCATGTAGACTATTCTATCAACAGAAGAAACAGAAACAGTAGAAAACAAAAAGAGGTATTATAATTATTAATGGATAATTTTACAATACTTGAAAATAAAGAATTCGTGTTTTTTTNATGTTTAAAGACGTTATACATATAACATCCTCAGGATTAAAACTGCATAGAATCAATGCCCGGAAACGTCGTCGTACGTGACTAGGGGCACTTTCCCATTATGATCTTTCCTGAAACACGCGAGGATACAGTTCATAATAGGAAAGCCCCCCTTGCCGCATATGGCAACATTTCCTGTTAAACGACATTTTGAATCTTTTTTTTTTGTTTTGTCGAAATGTTTATAAAGTCGTTATACATACAACAGGGGGTCGCATCCTCAGGATTAAAACGACATAGAATCCATGCTCGGAAATGTCGTCGTACATGTCTAGGGACACTTTCCTATTATGTTACCTCCAGAAACAGTTGATAATAGGAAAGCACCCCTAGACATGTACGATGACATTTCCGGGTATGAGTTTCTCTGCAATTTTAATCCTAATGATGATGCTCAACTGTTCTAAAAGTTTGTTGCAATTTTTACATGATATCCTATTATACATAACTTTTTTAAACTTGTGCATTTCGACAAACAAATAGACTAAAAGCGTTATTTTGAGGGAAAACTGGAGCTTGGAGAGTGCAACCGACAGCAGATTTGAAATAATCGATACAAATGTACAGGATTATTTATAATTCTATAAACGCCATTTTTCCTTACTACAACTAGCTTCAGTTGTACATGTTACTGCCATCTACCGGCAACTGCTTAAATTAAAACTTGAATACTTTCGGAATAATTTCATATGTTCTTTTTTGCCATATTCGTCTTCGTTTTCTTACTATAACGCTTCGAAACCCCGGAGGGAATTATGAATAACCCTGTATATATATTCTTCGCAAAGAAATCTGCTCCATGGATTTTTTGGATTTTGAGCTGATTCGCTGGCCGAAAGGGGCGCGTTCAAAAAGTAGATCCATCAACTACATCAGAGGGGTTTTTCGTTATTTTTTTTCAGCTTTGATTTTAGAAAAATATTACATTTCCAATTTAAAAATAAT